GTCGTCGAAATGTCCAACATCTTGGAAACCGCTGGGAAGGAACGAGACGATGCAACCAAGGAGGCAAGGAAGTGGCAAGGTCAAGTGGAGGGATTGGCCCGTGAGGGAGACATTTTGCGTCAGCAACTGAGAGATTTGAGCGCTCAGATTAAGGTCTTGGTTTTGGAAAATGCCATTCTGAAGGAAGGCGAGACTACGTACGATAGAGAGGAACTCGAGAAGATTGCACGCCAGGAAATTGATGACTCTTCTGCTGATCTCAACCCAACCGGACGTTTCATCAGTCGCAATTTGATGACGTTCAAGGATCTTCACGAGCTCCAAGAGCAGAATGTCACTCTCCGCCGTATGTTGAGAGAGCTTGGGGATAAGATGGAGGGCGCAGAGGCCCGCGAGCAGGATGCCATCCGTCAACAAGAGCAAGAAGAGTTGAAGGAGCTGAGAATCCGAGTGCAGACTTACCGTGACGAGATCGCTAACCTCGTCGCCCAAACAAAGAGTTATGTTAAGGAGAGGGATACCTTCCGGAGCATGCTTACCCGCCGTCGTCAAACCGTTGGCGACGCATCTGTCTTCTCCCAGTCTCTTCCTCTGGGCGCAGCTCCTCCCGCTTCCGAAGAGCCGGCCAAGGATGTCCCAGACTACGCTGATCTGTTGCGCAAGGTGCAGGCACACTTCGACAGCTTCCGCGAGGAGTCCGCCACCGATCATGCGGCATTGAAGCAACAGGTCAATGAGCTGTCCAGGAAGAACAGTGAACTGATGAGCGAAATTAGCCGCTCCAGCAGCCAGCTTGTTGCCGCCACCCAAAGAGCCGAGCTTCTCCAGGGCAATTTCGACATGCTCAAGAACGAAAATGCAGAAATACAGAAACGCTACGCCACTCTACTGGAGAACGCCAACCGGCAAGATATCAGGACTCAGCAGGCTGCGGAAGATTTGGTGGAGACGAAGGGTCTCGTGGAAAGTCTTCAACGAGAAAACGCCAACCTCAAGGCAGAGAAGGATCTCTGGAAGAATATCGAGAAGAGACTCATCGAGGACAACGAGACACTGCGCAACGAGAGAGGCCGACTTGATTCTCTCAATGCCAATCTTCAAACCATCCTCAATGAGCGTGAGCATACCGATGCTGAGAGTCGTCGTCGTTTGCAGAGTAGCGTGGAGACTCTTGAATCGGAGCTTCAATCTACGAAGCGGAAGCTTAACGATGAGGTTGAGGAGGGAAAGAAGGCATCGTTGCGTAGGGAATACGAACATGAGCAAAGTCAGAAGCGGATTGATGACTTGGTGACGAGCTTGGGCGCCGCTCGGGAGGAGTTGGTTGCTGCGAAGACGACAAGAGATCACTTGCAGTCGAGAGTCGACGAACTCACTGTCGAGCTGCGTAGTGCCGAAGAACGCCTTCAGGTTGTGCAGACTAAGCCAAGTGTGTCTGCTGCTCCTACTGAAGCGCCTGCGGTTCCGGAGGAAGGCCAGGAGAGTGGTTTGACACGCGAACAGGAGCTTGGTATTGAAGTATCCGAACTCCGTCGTGATCTGGAGTTGACAAAGAATGAGCTTCAGCACGCGGAAGAGCGGGTGGAAGACTACAAGGCTATCAGTCAGCAGAGCGAAGAGCGTCTGCAGTCGGTTACTGAGACCCAGGAACAGTATCGGGAGGAAACGGAGCGTCTCATCGAAGAGAAGGATAAGAAGATCCAGGACCTTGAGAAGCGCATCGAAGAAATCTCTACCGAGCTTTCGACTACGAATGGCGAACTTACCAAACTGCGTGACGAGCAAGGGGAGGCTGGCCGGCATTTGGAGGAGCAGAAGGCCGCGCTGGAAGCAGAGATCACAAGGTTGAAGGACGAAAATGAACGGCAGATCGCTTCTGCTCAATTCCACCAGGAGGATCTCAAGGCACAAGCCGAAATCGCGCAGCATGCCCAACAGAACTACGAGAGCGAGTTGGTCAAGCATGCCGAAGCCGCGAAGAACCTACAATTGGTCCGGTCCGAAGCTAACCAGCTGAAGCTGGAAGTTGTCGAACTCCGGACACAGGCCGACACTTTCAAGAAGGACCTTGCTCAGAAGGAGGAAAGCTGGACTGAGATTAAGGACCGGTATGAGAGTGAGCTTACGGAACTGCAAAAGCGCCGCGAGGAAGTTCTCCACCAGAATTCGTTGCTGCATACCCAACTCGAGAACATTACAAACCAGATCGCAGCTCTCCAGCGCGACCGGGCTAACATTCCTGAGGGAGATGAGGACGGAGAGGCTGGGGCGCCCAACCTCGAAGGCCTCCAGGAGGTGATTAAGTTCCTGCGTCGTGAGAAGGAGATTGTCGATGTGCAGTACCATCTGTCAACCCAGGAAAGCAAGCGTCTTCGTCAGCAACTCGACTACACTCAGACCCAGCTTGACGAAGCCCGGCTTAAGCTTGAGCAGCAGCGTCGCGCGGCTGCCGACAGTGAACACAGTGCTCTCAGCCACAACAAGTTGATGGAGACCCTGAACGAACTTAACCTGTTCCGCGAGAGTAGCGTTACGCTGCGTAACCAGGTCAAGCAGGCGGAAACTTCACTTGCGGAGAAGTCTTCTCGCATCGAAGAACTTGTTCAGCAGATTCAACCGCTAGAGACTAAGATCAGAGAGCTAGAGAACACTGTGGAGACGAAGGATGGAGAGCTGAAGTTGCTGCAGGATGACAGGGACCGGTGGCAGCAACGTACGCAGAACATCTTGCAGAAGTACGATCGGGTAGACCCTGCGGAAATGGAGGGCCTGAAGGAGAAGCTTGAGACATTGGAGAAGGAACGTGATGAGGCCGTTGCTGCCCGGGACACTCTACAAACCCAGGCTGCTGCATTCCCAGAACAGTTGAAGCATGCGGAGGATCGTGTGCAAGAACTGCGCACGAAGCTCACAGACCAATTCAAGGCTCGGTCTAAGGAATTGACTGGCCGTATAAATGCTAAACAGGTAGAGCTGAACACGGTCGTGCAAGAGAAGGAAGTTATTCAAGAAGAACTCAAGACGACTCGGGAGGAGCTGAATGAGTTGAAGGCGAGGATGGCCGAGAAACCTGCAGCTTCTGCTCCTGCTGCTGTTGAAGGAGCTACGGGTGTTGACTCAACGCCTGCTTCTCAGTTCCCTGCGCCAACAACGCAGCCGCCTGCCGCCTCTGACGACCAACGCGTGAAGGCTCTGGAAGAGAAGGTGCAACGCCTGGAGGCAGCTCTTGCGGAGAAGGAGACGGCGTTGGCCGCGAAGGAGACAGAACACGAGGCCAAGATCAAGGAACGCTCTGACAAGCTGAAGGAGATGTTCAACAGCAAGCTGGCTGAAGTCCGGGCTGCTCATCGGCAGGAAGTTGAGCGGTTGAAGTCCAGTCAACCAGCCGCTCCTCAGGAACCTGGAACCCCAGCTCCCAAACCCGAGCAGGTGCCAGCAACGCCGGCGACTCCTGCGGCTGCTCCCGCGACACCCTCTAAGGACACTGGACTGCCAGAGCTGACGGACGCACAAGCCAGGGAGCTTGTTGCCAAGAATGAGACCATTCGTAACATCATTCGGAGCAACATCCGCACCCAGGTGGCTAAGCAAAAGGAAACCGACAAGCAGGAGAGCCAAGCCAACCAGGAGGCCATGAGCACACTGGAGCAGAAGTTTAACGAAGAGAGAGAAGCGTTGAAGAAGGCCCATGAAGAGGGTGTGGAGGAGAAGATCAAGGCTGCCGTCGAGTTGTCGGACAAGAAATCACTGGCCAAGCTAAGCATGCTGGATACCCGATACAGGACAGCCCAGGCCAAGATCGACGTGGTTCAGAAGGCTGCTACGGAGACACCTCAGAAGCCCGTTGTCGAAGTGTGGGAGGTCGCAAAGACCACCAGAGCGCCTCCGGCGGCGCAGGCCAAGCCCGCCCAGGTGGCATCCCCTGCGCCTGCACCGTCTCCCGCGCCCGCAGCGGCCCAGGCTACCCCGGTGGTACCATCGCCGTCGCCTGCTCCGACGGCCACTCCTGCGGCCACACCCGCAGCTACGCCTGCAGCTGCTCCCCAGGCACAGCCTGCGGAGCCTGCAGCAGCTTCCACAGCCGAGCCACCTGCTGAATCTACGCCGCACACAGGTGCCCCAGCACAGCAGGAACCGCAGCAACAACCTGCGCCTGAACAGGCAGCACAACAACAAGCTGCCCCTGCAACGGCTCAGCCAGCCACCAATGCTCCTCCGAACCCGTTCGGTCAGAGCCAGAACAAGCAACCCACCTCGTTGCCCAGCAAGCCCCCGGCCGGTAATGCTCCTGGTCTTATGCGAGCACTGACGTCCGGATTGCCCGTCGCACGAGGCGGCAGAACCGGCGGCCGCGGCGGGTCGCAGGCGAATCCTTTTGGTCAGCAACAGGGCCAGCAGCAACAGGCGCAAGGTCAGGGTCAAGCCCAGCAGCAAGCTCCTAGCCAGCGCGGCTCTGGTCTGCCCCGGGGCCGTGGCGGACGCGGAGGTCACGGACGCGGCGGAAATCAAAATGTACAGGCTACGAATGCCGCTCAGCAGGGACAGGCTAGTCCAGGCCGCTCGCTGAATGCCGGTGCTCGCCAGTTCGTGCCTCAAGGCAACAAGCGTGCTCGTGAGGATGGAGGAGAAGCTGGAGGCGAAGGAGGAACCACTGGAGGAAAGCGCATGAGGGGAGGAGGTCATACCCGGGGGTCATAGGATCTAGAACAGCGTGAATTGCATTTTTCTTTCATTTTTCTCATGTACTTTATGTCTCAATGCGTCTGCTGGGATAGGGTAGATGTTCTATGCAACATCAGATTTCTTTTGTCTTACACGATACGTGCCAGTATTAAGATACATACATCGAGACTTAGCAGGTCAAGAAGGTGCACAAGATGAAAAGATGCTTGCAGTATTTTCAAATTCACATTTAAATTGGGTATAGAGCAGAAACAAACACCCCCCACCACCTATCCCGCCCATCATCCACCAATCCATCACAATGGAAAAAAACAAGCTCATCTCCTCCTCCCCCCAATCAACCTGACCAACGCATCCCTCTCCCTCTGCAACACCATCAACCTCGCCTCCTCAATCACCCTCCCCTCCAACCCATTTCCCCCTATACCATTCCCTCCTCCTCCTGCACCAGCAGGAAAAACCACCTTACTCGGCTCCACCCTCCCCACAGCCCTCCTCCTCCTCCTATTCCCACCCCCCCAAACAACCATCCAATCCGCAACCCCATCCCCATCCGCAATCTCAACGCCCGCACACACCCGACAATGCGATCCCACCACCGCCCTTCTCCCAATCACCGCGCGCGCCTCCACACAACTCGCACTATGGATATGCGCCCCCGGAAGGATCTGTGCCCCTGGGCCGATTATCACGCTGTTTGAGATGCGGATGGGCAGAATCGACCCTTCGTCTCTGCTGGCAATGCCGCTTGATGTGGATGTAGATGTTGTGGATGTGGAGGTGGTAGGGGCGGAGCCGATAACGCTCTTCTCGCTGATTATGCATCCGTTGCCGATTATCACTGGCCCTTCGTAGGAGTAGATTCTTGCCCGAGGGTGGATTATTGTGCTCGCTCCGATGGAGATGGGGTGCGAGCCTTGGATTAGGAGGCTTTCGGAGATGGTGGCGCTGGGGTGCGCGGTTATGGGGGTGCGGTGGTGGTGAGGTTGGGAGGGGGAGGGGGGTGTGCGTTGCTGGGGGTGGTGGGAGGGTGGTTTGAGGTGTGTTGATGTTGTTGTTGATGTTTGTTGTAGTGGTGGTGGTGGTTGGGATGGGTGGTGTTGTCGGCGGGGGTCCATTTTAGGTTGTCGTGGTGGTGTGAGGTGGTAGATTGTAGAGAGGAGGTAATCAGAGTGGTGAGAAAGTTTTTAGGTAAGTAAGCAGTAGACTGAGTAGTTTCTGTTGTACTGTACTGTGTTGTGTTGTTTTGGTCGTGGTTGCGGATGTTATGGTGGAAAGTTGATTGATGTCCGCGGAGGTGAGTTGTGGAGACCGAGACGGGCCCGTGAGTACACCGTAGAGGAAAGAATAGCACCATATTCCCTTATAGATTATTACCACGCTTGTTACATAAACCAATGTATTTAATGTACATATCAAAAGTATAAGTATATAGTCATCATCTATCCCAACCGGGTATCTATCATCATATCTAAGCAAAAACCCAACTAAACGCCAACACCATATCTACAACGCATATCTATAACCCACCCCACACACACACAACATCACTCTTCATCCCCATTCTCTACATCCCCCTCCTTGCGCTGCTTAATCCCGTTCCTCTTCCGCCACGCCCAAACTCCCCGATCTACCTCCTCCCTCGTCATCCCATCCTTGACCAGACAGAACGTCACCCCCAACTCAGTCTCAACATTCCGATTCCTCGCCTCATCATCAAAGAACAGCATCTCCTCATACGCCACCCCACTCGCCTGCTGAATGCGCGAGAAATGTTGCGTCTTGTTCGCCGGGAAGATCTGCACGTAGTCGAAGTAATCCAGTGCGCGCACAGGTTTAGTCTTCGCCGCGGGGTTATCAGAGAACGTAGGGATGATGTGCAGAGCTTTAAGCATGTCGCGGGCGAGATCGGGGGCGTGAGTGCGCGAGGCTAGAGCTAGCGTAATGTTCTTGCTTTTGCAGGCGTAGACGATAGATGAGACGGCGGGGTAGAAGGCGAACGATTCGTTCCAGCTGCGGGAGGTGATGGTGAGTTTTATGGTACTAGTTTTGCTAGGGAATGAGGGGACATACCGATCCGTGCAGCGGGAATTGTTGTCGCGGGGCTTGATTGGGGCGCTGACGTGCGTGTCGACCCAGAATGGCCAGAGAGTGTAGTCGAGATCAAAGGCGATCAGTTTCGGGAGGGGAAGGCCGTCGTTGAAGGTGGCGGGCGAGATGGAGGCATCTTCTAAGGGCTGAGTGTTGGTTCTTTTGGTCCGCATCGTGATTCTGGATCGACACGCTATCTCTCGATTAGATGGAAATTGTGAGAAGTAAAGAAGAGGTGAATGGTGGAGTTGAAGGTGAAGGTGAAGGTGAAGGCGAAGATGGCGAAGATGGATAATGAGGGGTCACGTGCGGGGAAGGGGGATTCACTAAAAGACCGAGTGAGGCATCTTGGAGTAAAACTTCGATCCTGAGTTACGATAGTTCTTACAACTATTACGCAGAAATCAATTTTCATCATCCTTATCATTCATTATTAAGCTATTATTATGGACTCGCCAGACAAGGATCCCGTTGATCAGTGTCATACAAAGACCAGGCTCTGGCTGGCAAACATCCCGATTCTGAGTAGAGCACCTTCATCGACTGATCACTCGTACAGTGGCTCTCCTTTTTTGAACTTTTGAAATCATGTCTTCTGCGTTTCACATTGCGATCTGAAAGTCCTGTCCTGCAGTTTTCATTTTCTCCTTCATCGACTGTGTTCAGGACACATTCACCTTGGATCGATCAGCCTTCCACACGCTGTAGTTGAAGCAATCCAACGTCTGAAGGAGCTTCCAAATCTGTTGGTGCTCTTCGGCGCCTTGAAATGTTTGTGCGTGTTTGAGGGCCTCCCAGCTAGCGGCATACTTCAGAATGCAATTCTGCTGCTCATTGTCAAGCAGCCCATTCGCGCCGACGACATAGGCAATCGTTCGTCGCCAAACCTTTAAGGGAACGTCGAACCGCAACACGCGGTCTTCATCAGGGTCCTGGCTCCTTGTACCCGAGCTTGAGGACGCTGCAGAAGGGATCGGCATGGCTTCAGTCGCGACAACCGCTTTCATCGATGCAGATGGTTCATATGCCTCCTGAGGCGTGGGAAATTCGGAGACGAACGCTTCATAGCGGGAGTAGGATGGACCGGCGCGTTGTCCGGCCCCTTCAGGGGCAGTGTTTGTCACCGGAGGGCCCATGTGCGCGATATCTTCACCTGGATACGAGTATGCACCAGTATTAGGTTCGACAAACCGCACGCGAGTCCGGTTACGAGGCTCAACAAACTCCACATGGGCGTAGTCTGGCCCATCAGATGAGCTGTCGTCTTCTTGAATCCACTCCGCCTCTTTCTCGCCTTCGTCCACGCGTACGTTATTCTCGACATCGGCACCTCCCACCTTACTATCCGATCTCGGACGATTGTCATCATCCAGCAAGATGGTACGTGATATGAGCATCATTTTCAGTGCGGTGCTCCAAAGTGTGCTGCTATGCACGCCTTCTGTCTTGATTGCCTCAAGTTGGACGCGTTTGCAGAGACGAGCGTATTCGGATTTCAGATTATTCTCAACCTGATTTGCGGGTTTCTCGTCATGGTCTTGTCCTTTGTTTCTGCCGCGGCTGGCATACTCTGTGCCGTCATTCTCGTTCATACTCTGCCCTTCAGCCTCTGTATCGGACACCACATCACGAAGACTTTCTGCCACCTCCAGTAGCCGCACTGTGTATGGCGGGAGATCATTGGTAGGGCGCCAAATTATGCTCTTGCACAGGGACGCAGTTTGAGGGAGAGTCACAGACTTCCCTGGAGGAAGAAATTCAAGTAGGTGCTCCGGTGTGTGTTGAGCTCTGAGCATGCTTTGCAGATGAAGGGCACTGGTGTTGGACAGTCCAATCTCCGATAGGACGAGATGAGGAATGGAACGCAGACCCCGAGTGCAAGTATACTTCACCTGTTCGGCCCGTTCGATTTGTGTGTGGCCTAGAAAAGGTCATCTGTTAGTTCCAGATACATACCTAAAAGATGAAGCCGTGCACCTACTCTTCGGACGGGCGTTTTTACCCTTGTCAGGCGACTTTTTGGTTCCCTTAGGCTCGTTTTCCTTGTCCGACAACTTCATTCTAGCCAAGTCATCAATTGAATCATTTTCGGCGTCAGGGTCAGGACCAAGAATGTCCGGAGCCTCACTCAAAAGCCAGTCGAGGTCACTTTTGAGGTAGACCCGCGCGAAGTGCTCAATGCCCAGACAACCAAGGGGGTTGCCACCCAGATCAAGCTTCTTGAGCATGTAACAATGTTTGAACTTCCTGAGGAAGGCCTCCCACTTTTCAACATCTTCCGCAGTCTCAATGTTAAGCTGGTTCTTGGAGAGATCCAGTTCCCGAAGGTCGCCGGTCGATAAAGCGACTACCTCTGCCAGTTTAGCCAACGACTCCACGGTAAGCTGATTACCTTGCAAGTGGAGCTCAGCGACCCGTACTATGCGGGAGGTATGAACTTTGCCCTCTCTAACTTCTTTGGTTTCAAATTTGATGCACTCGATCAAGACATCGATGAACTGGTTGAGGCCATCATCCGTCAACTCTTTCCCGGTAATATCGATTTCAACGACAGGGTCTCGTAAAGCCGAGTCATGGTTGCCCGTTTTATTGCCATCTTCAGGCGGCAATCGCTTCTTCTATAAGCAGTTGTCAGTCTACTTCGCTAGAGTTCAGACCACTCTACTGCCACCTACCAAGCTAGTTAAGACGGCCTGACCCGCTTTGATGCCTCTAATCTTTCGCTACAAAGCAAGTCATCGTCAGCCTCTGTTCTCTAGAGTTATCATATGTTGATGCTCAATGAAAGAACTCACGCCAAGGTAGTTGAGCTTCCCCATATTGAGGAATGACCACGAAGGTACGGTGTGCAACTTTTCTGGTTCCAAGTCAGCATGCCTGCTTCAAGAGTACTGACGAGTCCAAGATAATAGAAGTAATAAAACCGATGAAAGACGGGATATATTGTGCCCAACTATTCGCTTAGCGAAAGTCAAGTCATGATGCAGTTAGTCGTGCGGGCGCGTCACCTGTGTCAGAGTACACAAACCCGAAGACAAAAGACAGGATTCTGTGAAAAAGGAACCATATTGATTCACATACCTGACTATTGATGTGCTTCGAAGTTAATTTCGGTATGTTGTGATAGATGAATCGTCTATCGACGCGAAGTTGGGAAGCAGAAGATTCTTTGTTGGTGGAGAAGAGAGAAATCTAGATCAGTGAAGAGGAATGTGTCAACAGCCAGCCCTATATCGAAATGCATACAAATCAGCACTAGTGTGAAACACTACCTGTGTGTTTCTGCACTGTTCCATGAACCTTGCTAATGCAGATTAGGAAGAGTCTGGAAAAGAGAGTGTTGGAAGTGAAGGTGGGTGATGTGAGACATGAAAGTCATGGACAAAGCTAGAAGGTCTTATAGAAAGTAGGCCTGAGGGGTGCGTGACTTTCAACGCGTTTCCCTTTTGGGCTTTCGAGGGCTTTCACTCCTATTCTCATTCACTTTCACATTGCGATGGCAACTTATGCTTTGGAGCACAGAAGAGAGAGCGTGTGTTTTTTTTTTTACTCCTTGAGCAGTATCTGAAGGGCTTATTACGGTGTTTGCCTCGTGTGCGAGCCTCATCAGTGGTTCACTGTACTAGTTTTCACTTCTATATGGCATTCTCCGCATATTCTGACAACATTCAGTTACCTACTGTGATACTAGAAGTACTTGAGAAGGAAGGAATGTGGATGGACGGTTCCACATCTGCACCACATGCTGAATTCCACAAATTATAACTAGCTATCGAGCCTTATAACAAATTGATAACATCCTTGAACTCATGCAGTAGAGCAGGCTCAATATCCTCCCAGCCTGCGGGAATCTCAGCTGCTACATCCGTAGTACCACCGGGCTGGAAAGAGCTTGGATAGGTAGCTACGATGTCTTTGTCCGTCTTGCATCTCTTTCTATCGGCCTCAACGGTCGTAGTCAAGAGAATCTTCCGTTTCCTCCCATGGGAATTAGCAGGAGTAGATCCATGATAATCAGGTCTATCATTTTGATCGTTCAGTATCATCTCTTTGACCTCTGAGAGGGCTGAATTGATTATATCAATCTTATCAGGGCCTTGTGCTGGTTGAATGTTCCTTTTTCGACCGTCTTCGGGTGCAGGAACAATATCTGTCACTGGTGGTACCTGGAAGTCGGGCCATCCATCATCGTCACTCCAGTCTTCTGTGTTCAAGTCTCTCTTCGTGTTGTCTTCGATAGTGGGGGCTTCGGGATCCTGTTCTTTCGACGATGTTGCTACTATGGGATTTCCGAGCAGCAGGGCGGATGGTGAAGGGAAGTCACTGAAGCTGTCGTTTCCGTAATCGCTTGAGGATTCTAGTATGTTCTCTGGAACTGGACAGCCAGAGTCACTTCCTGGATTGTTGTTTCTGTTGGTATTCGTGTTTCCTGAGGAGGGTTTGTGTGTTGAGACCGGGGTTTCTATTAGATTTCTCTGTGCTTCAAAATCAGGAGGGTTACTCGCTTGGGTGGTAGTGTCCTTCTTGGCTATTGTTGCTGGAAGGGTTGTCTGATTGAGTCCCGTTATCTTCTTACCCTTGTTCTTATCATCGTCGCCTGATCGCTTCTTGTTTGCTTTGGGTGGCTTCTCGAGTCCTTCTCGACAGCAGAGATGCTTACATCTGCTTGCAATTAGATTTTTTCCTATCGACATGGGATCATTGTAATACGTTGTCTTATCTTTGCACCGATGGTTGCAGGCCCATCGACCGTTCTCGAGTCTGACAGCCTCTACTGTTTCAATTATCTGATTGTTGCTTCGATTCGAGCCCTTACTCGTATTTCTTGAAAGCCGTGCTTTGTCTTCTGGAGATTGTTGCAACTTATCGACACACGACCAGTTTTCGGCTCGGTCTGCATATGAATCGGGTCAATCCGTCAATGTCTATTTTCACTAGGAGCAATCCAGCTTACCATTTTCTAGGAAATCTCCGAACAAAAGATCGTCACTGTCCCAAAGGTTGATGTTTCGGGCGACGGATTTGGTCTGGGATATGTCGTTACTGCGTCGGCGAGAGATGTTAGGTTTGGGCCTTGCCGACACTAAATCGGACGGAGAATCTAGCTGAGACGGAAACAAGCTTGCGGGAAGATCAGTCAGCTGTGCGGATCGCATAGTTCCAGCTAAGATCGTCAGCAGTCATATTGCATGACGGTCAGGGGCATTCCTGGGTACCTATATCGTCACACATTGCATAGCACGTCACCGATTGGCCGGCGCTTTTCAGCTCCGCACTCAAGATTATTTCCTGACCATTGAGCATCTTACTGGCACTAAATCCAATTAGAGTCGTTGGAGTGTGCTTGGTATGTCATCAATAATACTTGCCTTATGCGTCGGAAGTCGAGCAAACGACCGTCTGAAGTACCCGCCATGAAGCAGACGTACACGGGACGACGTTGGAAGTATGTCGGACATTTCTCGTTCATGAAGGCGATTTCGCTTCTTATATTGACCTGTGCACCTATACCAGTCTTTGTTTCCTGCTGTTGTATCAGCCAGATATTCTAATAGCTTCTGGTATAATACCTTGCCAATCATCTTGACGGATACTCGAAGCTTGGGAAAATCAACAAGCCGCTCCAGCAACTTCCTCCCGAACGGAGGATTTCTGCTCAAGATCATATCAATTTGATGAGGTTCACAAAGCTCCAGTGCTTCAATGCTAGTGATTCCTGACGACGCTTGTTTTCGAACGGCAACCACACCAATTTGTTCGATCTGCTTCATCTGAAGCGGGGAGTCATCCCAGACTTTGGCACCAAAGCTCCTTGCAAGCTCTAGTGCATTTCGTAGCGTGAAAGAGTCTTCAAGGCCTACCTGACAGTCAATTATACATCGGATGAGCCTGTTGATGTGAGAAAAGACGAATGTCTTGTCCTGTTGGAAAGTGAACCTGTGCTTCTGGAATGGTTCGCCATCTGGCAAATCAACAGCACCTAACTCGGACTGGATCAACAGTGATATCTTGTGTGCGGAAAGTGCTATATCCACGTTCACTGGGAACCGAATTGCATTGGAGCGATTGATCTCTTTATATAGGGACTTCTCGCCCGCTTTGAGGCGTATTTCACGGAATTCGTCTGCTCTCGAAAGCACTGAGAGCTACATAGATGGTTAGTATTGAGTATGCCCCGCGACAGAAGTACAATTCCTTACAATTTGAGGTACGGTTGAATGAGGCTTCAAAGTAAGCAAGGTCTTCATCGTCTCGAAGCGCACATAGTATCGCGCCATGGCATCACCAAACTTGGTGGATTTGAGACTATCGGCGGAGACCAGTCCACAATCTTGAAGAAGCTTGATATCTTTCTGACATATTTGTCGGAGCATCTCCTCTTCATCTTCTTTATCAGCGTCCTCCTTTAGTCGATAATATGTCGGATTCCTTCTCATTCTCACGAAGAAGAAAGTACCAGCGAGCCATCTGATAGCAGATTCAGTGTCTGTGATGTTGCCAAGTCCGATCTCTGCATTTAGATGGTCCGTAAGATTTAAATGTAAGCAGCTTTCAAGGCTCTCAGAGCCAGACACAAGCCTCTCATAGTGAGCTTCGCGTGCTTGTCTTGTCATTATTACAGCTGTAGCGCTGTCATCAAACTGTGGTCTACCGGCGCGCCCTAGCATTTGCATGATTTCTAGGTCGGAATACTCCTTGCAGCCTCCCTCTTGCCACCCGACTGTTCCTTTTATAATGACAAGATGGCAGGGCAGATTAACACCAACTGCAAGAGTTGATGTGCAACAAATTATGCTAACCTGTCCATTGAGGAACCCTGTCTCGACCGAGCGGCGATCAATCGGATCAAGGCCAGCGTGATGGAAAGCTACTCCAGCAGCAATTGTGGCTATACAGATTAGGTTGTATCATCTTATCTTAAGCGGAAAAGGTGGTACCTCTCAAGTCTACATTCTGCACTTCCATAGACCTTCCTGGTCCCTTCCATAACCTAGCAGGAGGGTTGGACATGGTCCACAAGCGTGTAAGCTCCTTCGCGGTAGCAACAGCTGAATTCCTCGTGCAGCAAAATATCATTATTGGCTTCTTTCGAGAATGAGATGATATAATATCTGCAACTCTACCGGAAGAACATCAATAGCAAACTCTGTTTCTTATGGGGACAACTTACTTAGAGGTACACATCTTGTCGAATGCGAAATCGTTGGCGTGAGACTGGTAGCCATACACGAACTTCTGCAACTTCACAGGACGAAAGTCTTCCCCAAAATGCTCTCTGTGGGCAGGCACGTGCTGATTTACTGAATCCCTACCTAGCCAAGTTGCTATATCCTCTGAATTCGGAACCGTAGCACTTAGAGCGATAAAGCGAACGTTGGACCCGTTTGCTTTCATGCGGGATACGACAGCCTCTAAAGTTGCACCACGCGCTTCCTTGAGGATATGGACCTCATCAATGAGGAATAGCTTGACGAGCTGCATTAAACGTGCATGGTCCTTCCACTTCCGCGTCATGCTGTCCCACTTCTCGGGTGTCGTGATGATCACTTGGCTGTTCTGAACACTCCTCAATTGAGTGTGGTCTGTATCCCCGGTCAACTCTGCACATTGCAGCCCTAATGTATTGAACTTTCTACTCCAGTCTCTGAACTTCTCGGAACAAAGAGTTTTGGTAGGCGCCTGATATATCACCTTGAACCGTTCATCTTTGACGCAGTTGAGTAAACGACATATTGCCAGTTCCATTATAGCTGTTTTGCCACTGCCCGTAGGTGCGGCAAGAACAATGTTGCTATCGGACTTGTAGACCGATTGAAAGCATTTTGACTGTACGGCATTGAATACAGGAAAAGGAAAGATCGACCGGTATTCATCTGGGAGTTCATGCACAGATACGAGGACAATACCTCGAACTGAAACTGGAAGATGTTGTTGGAAGGGGCCTCTTTGCCGGTCTTGGCGGGCAACTGACGATATCTCAGAAGAGTGAGAAGCCAGTATTTCACGGTTGGAGGAAGTATGGGGATCAATGTTGTTCTCGAAGTCGTGTTCAGAAGCATGTGCATTCACCCTCCCAGCCCGCATTCTTATCAGTGGACTAGATGGCGATCTCACACCCGTATCCGAAGAACTAGAGCCGAAACTTTGACGTGGAGTGACATGAGGACCCGCTGTTGTTTCAAGCCATGTTAGCCCGATCCTTCAGGGCTGAGATCCATGAACCTTATATCAAGCATGCGCTCTGACCTTGAAAGAAACGAGAAACCCGGTTATAGTCTGTTCTTTGGGGAGGCCTGGACAACGAGCCACGATCTGCGAATGAAGCGGCTGTCTGAGGACTCTGTATTTGCTCATCTGATTGGGCTAGGAGTTCAAGGTCTAAGGTTTGGATGATCAGCCTGATCTAAATACTCTGAGATGGCATTGTGGGGTAGTTTATCAGCATACCAAAGGCATCCAGGTCTAGATCATCGTCCCGAGAAAACAACTGCAGCTCAGGTCGATAGCTCCTAGAGTCCTCTCTGGGTAGTCGACTGAACAGAGGTTCCTGTGCACCTTCAACCAATTTCTGATCAATGATGGCACTTGGGTTTGATCGACTGGGAGTAGGGAGTTGAGGAACGGTCCAACGCTTATAGGGAGCGTTCCGACGGGCTTGAGGGACTGAATGATAAGTATTGTGCCGCATGTTAGATAGTGAGATGATGACACGATACGATGGGCAAGACGCTGCCACATCCACGTTTACCACGGATAGGTGAGAGAAGGTTGAGCCAGAACTGGGTAGATGGGGAAGGGGAAAAGTCACCCGCTATGAAGCACGTGGGGTCTTCTACGGCCAGCATACAGCAAGCGGACAGAAGTCATGATAGACGATACTATGTAGCAATCGACCTACAGCCTTTAGTATACCAGTCTTCATTCCCTAGGAAAGTAGATTGCTCAATGTGATAATGATCCGTGGGTTGTAGGATTGCGAGTCGAAAGAATCAACAACGAAAGGAATAATGTGAATAAAGTACAAGAAAGTGGAACCTATATGACGAAAGCAGAAGGGGCATCATCGCTTCTATCCATCCTTATTTACTTCCCAAAAAAACATGTTACAGCAACGCGAAGGTTAACCCTACGCGAAAAATGCGAATATAATTTCCGCAAATTGTAGTTCAGTGGTCTCGTGAGTGCTTTTCGAAATACCCACCGCTTGGGGTGCGGCCAGCGCGTACGTGGCCCGGGGATGTAGGCCTGGACGTTGAAAGCCCATCAGTAGAGAGAAAAGGCGTGCCAGGAAGCTTAATGGAGATCTCGTTAGGTGATGGGGAGGCTGGTGAAGCATCCCCACTCTTGCTTTCCTTCTCATAGCGATCCACGCGAATAGGAGGCGGACGGAAGGTCTGACGCTTAGCCTGGGCAGCTGCAGAACTTGCATCCTCGCAAAGGCAGGTAACCACCAACACTGCGAATGATCCCAGGAGATACTGTGAATATTAGCACCTACTCATGATTGAAGGAATACGGTCACATACATTGGCAGTGAGTTCAAACTCAAATAGCCAAACGCTAGCCAGTGTGGTGAGTAAAATACTCGCAGCCATGGCCATGTTCTTGCCATCCCTGAATGCGTAACCAATGTAGAAGGATGTGGCAATGCCACCAATGGCCTGAACGACAACAGTAGACCAGACAATCCAGTTGTAGCCCTCGAAAAAGCCATTGGCAGCAACCTTCTCGCCATCCAAGAAGATAACCCCGATAAAAAGTGCCGGGAATATCGAATAGACGGACAACTGCACGTTACGGATCCAGAGCGATGTCGACTTGGCACTATCCTTCAGCACTTTCTCGAAGTAAACGCTTGCAACGCCAGAGGCGACGCAGGCGCCAACTGTGGCCAAAAGGCCGACGGTAGCATTAAGTCTAGGGTTGGCGGTCATCATATCTTCCTCGATTCCTTCATAGGTTGCAGAACGCTTATGTAGACTCTCGCGTCCAAGCTTGGAGGCTTTCCACTCTTCCAGAGACCGCGGGAATGCAAGACGCGCAGTCTCATCTTGGAGAGTCATATCGTCAGGGTTGCCAATGGGCATCTGCACCAAAGCAACGCCCGCCAAGAGAAGGAGCATGAGCCCCAATTTCCGGAGCGAAACAGGTCTCTTAAGCAATACCAAGCTGGCTATGGCCACGACGATGAGTTTCAATTGGTACGATGCCTGAAAGGTGGCTGGCGGCAGATTCGACAGAGCGATGTACTGTAGCGAGTTCGCAAGCGTATAGAGACAGGCAGGAATAGCAAGTTTCCAGCTATCACCGGAGAATATAGCAGTTGTGAGGGAGAAGAAAAGGGACGTCGCGGGAACCGAAGGAGGGGCTGTCTTCGAAACCTCGTACAGCGCCATGGTCAGGGAGATGGCGAGCTTGACGACCTCATTGAAGAAAACGGTAGTGGACGTCAGGTAACGCTTGCCGCCAGCCGGCGACATAACTCTGGAATAATGCAATAGCTATGGGAGGACGAGATATAAGCAACCATGGACGCTATGATCAGAGTCGACGGGAGCGACTTACCAAGACAAAGGACGTGCACTGTACGGTCAACTGTTTCCAACAAAAACAATGTCAGTGAGTAAATACTCCAACATTTTTACGCAGACAAGCGGCAGAATTGTCATAGTGGTAATGTGTGCAATATGACTAGTGACTTACCAGTGCCCAAGACAGATGTTTCCAAACCGATCCCAGTCCCGAGGACTGGCGCTGGGCGGACTCCCCCATACTGACGATATTTGTCTTCCCCTTAACTAAACTGGCGATTCTTTCAAAGGCAACGAGCAAGTTGAGTTGTAAGAAGCAGTCGATATTGTCGGGCGGCGAACGGACAGGAACTCCGCACTCGATTACCGAGGATGTCGCATACAAATTGGGCGCGTGGTCGTGGTGGGAGAGGGGTGTCTTCACGCTTGACGAGGAATTTGCTAGCGAACTGGACCGACACAAAGAAAACCGACACGGTCGCAGAGTATATCAAGGATCGGAGAGCTCGAGAACAGAGCTCTCGAGGATAAAAGGCCTCAATGGAGGTCGAGAACTGAGCGCAAACGGGGGAAGAACCAGAAGAATGAGGGAGCGAATGGACTAAAATATGAGGGATCCGGGGTATTCTTGAGACGCTTGTTTGGGCGGTGTGGATCACGGGGCAGGTGGCGGTCTAGTCCCTTTGCTTGTTCGGATGGGCACCTTTGGTTCCTCCCAGCCATACATTAAATTCGGTCCCAGAACAAGTGCTTCGACTTTCGCCCAGAACTGCCCCCCTGAGGATCACATCTGACGTCAGGTTAAGACATACATGCCTCGATCGACCTCGTCACTGCACTGCGCAGATCCAGCTGACGGAATATCTGCTCTTTGTACCCACAACAAAGCGCGCAAGCTGCAGATTACGCTATGTTCCGCTCATCATCAACGTGCCATGATACTATTTGGTAAGGTCCGATCTGCAACACACGGTATTGCAGTCAGCTAATATCACCGTGATATCGACAATAGTAAACATGCATGATCTGCAGTAAATCTTATCACGTTACAAGGCTTGGTCTTTTGACGGGAATCAAAGCCGACGGCCTAGCAACTCACACAATACTCACAAAGCGAGGGCCAGACCCAGTCGAACGGATGTTTCTTGGCAGAACTCAGAACCATGGTTTGTGTACCAAAGTTCCAGTCCCCCTCTATACTCGCAACGCACGGCCAAAGAGGCCTCGACGTGAGATGATGTCGTCGGTTGGGATCATCATCAGCATTCCTCTCACCGGGGTCATTACAGTCCCAATCCATGCGGCTCGGACCGGAGGAATTTGGGGGCTTAACAGCAATCCTTCACTAATGCTCCGAAGTAGGCAAGGTAGGATAAACTTACAGAAGCCGATTCTCGAAGCCCGTAGGGTGGGCCTTAGCCATCGTAGAGACGAATGGTTGACACAACACATATACATCGACATTACTTCCCGTGTTGAAGGATCTTAACTATTTGTAGAGGGAAGGAAGAAAGTGAGACTATACAGGGTGGCCATTCTCACCGCCATGATATCTAGTAGAAGGGAGATCGTCGCAACTGCAACTCTCCTTGCGATAGCTTGCTATGTCATCTGACTGACACCTTCCGTTGGGTAACTGTTTTGCTTCTTCCCGCATGTCGGTGGTTCGAACCATTCCCCAACCATTATCATTACTATATTAGGCCTTCTGGAACTCTACTCGACATACACCTTGCGAGAAAATCGTCTGAAAGAGTGTGGGCAATACACAGAAGGTCCCCAGGTCTTATGATCACGTATAATGCAGCAGGTCCTTACATACGGGCAAGTAAGCTCTACAGTAGTTATCAGCATAGATGGTTCCATTATGTGGACAGTGTCCGATAGTAGGCCCCTCAAGTCTAGGTCGTCTATTTACAAAATGTCTTTTGCCGTATAGCATAAGTAGCCATAACCAACCAAACATAAGTAATAAAAAAATCCAAAATAAATGCCAACTGGCCGTATTCCGCTTGATCGATTCGAAAATGAGAACGTGAATAAGGAAAACCAAAGAGTGTATGTTGAGTCACAGGTATAGAAATGGGTGAGTGAGTGTGCAGGCGAAGGTAGGTATTGTAAAGGTTGAGTAAAACATGTCATCAAAGTTCAACGAAGTAAAATGAGTGGGTATCATGACTGCGAGCATTCTGCAACAAGCAACATCATGTTCAGTGTACAGCCGTCATAGTTCCATTGTCGTTATTCCACCGCAATGTCCACATGGGAAGCTCATCCCTTTGCTTCGGCTCCTCGGGCTCTTCCAGGACAATTGCCTCGCTGCTATCTGTACGCCGCCGCGAGTGCCGCCTCTTGTCTTGCGGCACAGCGGGAATCGGGCGACGGGGCGGTGGCCCTTGAGACGGTATAGGGGAGAAGCGGTGGATGGGGAGCGTCGGTGTCAACGGCGAGGCTGCGCTGGTCGAGGGAGACGAAAGACCCTCGGAGAAAGCCAAGCTAGCACGGGGAGAAGGGAATGAGTTGATGGTCTTCTGCTCCTCGTCGGAAAAAGTGCTCTGACAAACGGAGCCTTCCCTTTCATTGCGGTTCGCATTGGCTTGGACTGATTTAGGAGGGAAGGCAGGGCTTAGGCGTAAAAAGGACATATCTGATCCATAAAACGAATCCCGTGAAGGGACAGACAGCATGGAACTTTGGTCGGGTTCCAAGCTACTGTTAAATCGGCTCTCTTGGAAGATACTGGGCGTAATCTTCCCCTTCCTCTGTCGCATTGCCTCAAGGAGATGCTCCTCCTGTCTCGTCACGGCGATGACTCGGCTTCTTCTGTCGGTCTCCTTCTGGGAGGCAGAGGGGGGGTTTCTGAGCTGGCTCTGTCTCTGATGGTTGAATATCGGATCCCCGTGGAAGAATTCCGGCTCAGATATTGTGGGTATATCGCTGGATCGACGAGATTGCCAGCTGGCCATATATGATGACCTCTCGGCTGATGACTGAGACACGTCCCGCCGAGCGGATTGAAGCCTCTGTGATGGGCGCGATCCACGGCTAGTGACGGACATCGGCTGATCAATGCTCCTTAATGTGCCCTTTGTCGCTTGTGCCGCCGATGCTGTACATATCTCGGCTTCAAACTCGCCGTAGGTTGCAACGCTGTCTCTAGCACTTCGATCTCTGTTGAGTCGATCGCTGTTGAGGTCCTCGTCATCTTCATCCTCCGAAGAGGAGAGGCAAAGCACGCTGGAGCTGTTCAAGTCCGCAGTCTTCAGTGTAGTTCGACTACTTTTCTTTGGCACCGAGCACTTCTCCAATGCAGCAGACGCGTGCAGATCTGGTCTCCTGGGTTCGGAGAGATTTGAAACACGATGTGAGCTTTGGCGAGAACGAGCTTTAGGAGATAAGTAGGTCTCCTTGCTCCACTCGCTGCCAGAACTGTTTGAGGTAACCTTCCACAAGTTCTCATCCGGGGCGCGAGAATCACCGGTTCGCCGTTTATCTTGGCCTTGGGAACGCGACTGTGAGCGGTTAGAGCGACCCTTGGTATTGCGCCGCGAATCTTGCTGCAGTTTCTGCAAGGCTAAGTCCATCTCACTGGCCCGCACGGTCCTCTCCAAGGACGGATCAAGCCAGTTCGACGTCTTAGTCTCGTAGGATGATGCCTCAGGAGCCCGACCGCCGTAGGTTTGGTCGGTCGTCTTTCCCAGGTGAGGTGGCGTCTTTGCGAGCTTAGTGCCAGCTGCATGGTCCTCAATGTTCTTTGCCTTGGTGAGCGGATGCTCAGAAACTATGGAGATAGCAGAGGGAGAGGCCACCAAGCGTTGCGGCGACAGGAGTGGCTCAGCGGTTGCCTTAGGCTTGGGAAACAGTAGGGATAGGTCGATCCGGGGTGGGCGCATTTTACGCTTTGAGTCTTTCATCGGGCCTTTCGGTTGCCTGAGGCTAGAACCAGACTCGGCGCTTTGCCGTGACTCTGGTTTACCTTCAGCTGCAGGCCCGAAGTCGGATGTCGCAACTCCAATGCCAGGAATTGTATTGGCTGACGAATCCCGAGAACTGAAGTAGGAGAATAGGGCGGAGGCTGAACCTGACTGGTGGATTTTCTTTGTCGATGCTGGCATCGGCTGTCCAAGAGCATCATCTGGGCGAAACTCATGGCCCAGCAGGGGTGATGATGCCCGAACACGGAGGTGTTGTGGGGGAATAGTGGTCTCTGGAGCAGCAGTCGGGAAGGGAACAAAACCACCACTCTTCTGCGATTTGATCTCCGGAGCTCTCATGAAGCTTGGTCGTCTCGAGCGTCGTTTGTCGTCACGCTTAGAATGAGTCTCGTGGAGGGAGGCATCTGTTGTGCCGAGGATTTTGTAGGCCTTTGATGTGTTCTCATTCCTCGAATCTCCCGGGCTGGCTGCGGGTGAAAGCACTCCACTTTTAGAGGCATGCATGCTGGAGGTCCTTGGTGGGATAGGTATGGACTGCTGGGGCATAAATAAATTTAGTATGGGCGTGACCCACGTCGACACTGCGGGCTACAATCCCGATGTCTCTTCCCCAAAAATCGAGCTATAGCCAGATAGCAAGAAGTGGTGGATGCTCAAAGAGAGCAGGAGTTCTTGGAATTGAAGTAAACAAAACAAATGATCCCGACGTCTTTAGGTCGGAGGATTCAGGAGGTTTGGTAGAAAGCCGGAGGTGTCTTTCAATGTTCCCCACCCCAAGTCGGTGAGTAACCCCAAGCCCGTATGTTTACCGTTTCGGTCACTGAAGATCCTCGTTTCGGGGCGCCACAAGACACACCAAATTCGAAATTGAAGAAGCGGTCAAAAGAATAAAATCTCCAGGGAATTGGCGTTCTTTTGAGGAGCGTGTCAATGTACCAAACAGGGACTGAAGAGACGGATCAGGCGAGTCACGGAGAAATAAAAAGGGAACTAAGAGAAAGAGTAAAAGGGGAATTGAGAAAAGAGGGACTAGTATGCAGGTCCGGCGGAACGAGTGAAATATGACCTGGCTTGATAGTAGTAGCAGCTCGCAGGAATACAAAAGAGGGTCCCCGAGGAGCTTGTGAATGATGTAACAGATTTTGCAGGGGAATTGACCAGAGTCAGAGAAGAACCGGCCGTGCGAGCCGAGAGACCTTTTATGTACTATATATAAGTGACCGCGATTTCATTACATGTGAGCGGACTGATGATGGGGGGGGGAAAGAATTTCAAAAAGCGTGGAGGGTCGCGGCTTAAGGGGCAAAGTCAAAGACGCCAGAAACAGTCTAAACTCAGCATGGGCCAACTCAGAGTTGAAGAGATCCGCGAGGAGCATAGAAGGCTCATTCGCCAATTGCTTGGAACCAGAAAATCGATGGGGAAGAAAGCCATTCTCGTGGGCCCAGAAGAGACCCAGTTGTCATACTTCCAGACGGGCGAGAACCGGCAGGGTGGTCCATCATCAGGAGAGAGGGCAAGAGACGGGCGACAGACTGCCTACGTTAGCACCAGAGATTTAAGATTCGTGTCAGCAGACAATTGCAAGCCGGTAGTGGCACCTTAGCACCCTACAATAGCAGTAAGAATCGACAGGCACACAACCATGGGTCCATAGATCGCAAAGCGGCTCCTGAGAGTTTCTGAGTGGCCCATCCAGTGGAAGAGGTTCCAAAGTGGATTCAATGGCTGCTGGTGGTCCGGAACGAGCGATTCCCATTCAAGTCAAGGCAAGATTTCGAGGAGGATGGGTGGGATGTCCGTGTCTTGCAGTTGTTTATTTTTTGTGGATTTGTTTTTTCTTTTCTAAATTAGTTGTTCCGAAATCAGACCATTTTTCTAGTGGTGGTCCAATATATGTGTGTGCTCTATAATTTATGGAGTACGCATGAGAAATGTCAGTCAGTGCCTCGCAAAATGCTTCGTCCAGCAGAGAAACGCATCCTCGTACTTGAAGATAATAAGAGTATGTAGGAGTTGGCTCAACAGGGATGAACAACCCCGATATCCCACAATCATGGATCAAATCCTAGTTCGGACTCCCCTTGCGCCGTCTCTCGTTCGTACAGTAAACTTCGACCGTCTTTCCTTTCCGTCTTCTTTGGATTCCAGGGGATATTCTAGAGGTCAATAGTTCGCTGCCGTCCTTCGTCTCTTTCTGGTTTAGACGCGGCTGGACACGTGCGCCCAGGTTCGATTTGAACAATTCGGGCAATGCGGCAAAGAAACCAGCGCAGCCACTTCATTACTAACTATTCTGGTTTAACAAGCTATTCTTTCTTCTGCCTACATCCAAGTAAAAAGCAAATGAGAATATTGCCACCATATTTTCTCCGTAATGAATTGATTGACTTTTACTACACGTCGTATGCCACTGACGTCGGCACCGGAGATTGGACCGACGCGTGCAACTCCGTCAGGAACCAGTCAAGGTTTCAAATTAAGGGGCTGCTGCCGCTCGGGCTTCTCCACGGGTTCTGCCATTCGCGATCGATGGAGAGTGAACTGGTGAAGAACTACTTCCCATCGCCGCTTCGCCCGCTCAGCCGTCCCTTGAAGTCTCTTCCAATAGGAGTTGCAGTTGCTGCTGATCGTCATCCCGCTCACCAAATGTTATACTCAAGCGCCATAGTAGTGGGGTTCCCCAAGTACCGATTCAATAGTCTTCGTGGACTCGATCCAAGCAGGAACAGAGTAGTCTCTCAAAAGAAATCGACCCTCCAGGCTGAAATTGGTATGTCAATGTCATTGGGTCTGTTTATTTCTAATTCATACGTACCATCCCTTGGCCCTGTTGACGCCCGTGACAATCCCGCTAATGGCTGTGAGGCAAATAGTCGTGCACAGGGCATCAGTCTCCGCTAGGATAATGCAACCCTCAACGCACAATCTCAAATCTTGGATGCATGTGCTACTCGATCGTCGTCAATAATCGACAAAGCCATTGCAAGGTTTCCATGGAAAGTTGCTGGAATAGCGCCCCGTTAAGACACCTTATCGGAGGTTGATGTTCAAACCTACCAGTCCATCGGAACAAAGTTGATTGGCATCAGCATAGTTGGGTAAGTAGACCATGGGGAATTGTACCGGCTCCTTTTATGTGCAATGGTTGCCATTGTTGGGAGGTCACCCCCTATTGAGCATGGCATGGCCGTAGCCAGAAATAGGGTCAACTACACAACTGGTCTACACCACAACACACTCTCACGCAATTGATTCTGTGCCGCTCGATTAGCTCCTCCATCATGGAAGTAACTGCAGTAGGGGAAAACCGAAACTGAATAGCGTCCAGAGCTCTTCAATGCTCCTTGTCCGTCAAAGTCAATTTTGCAGATCATCGGCCAAGCCGCCATCCGCTCGACCGTCAAACTACCGGATGTGTCCGGACGCTGAGGTTTTAGACGCGCACCTGGTGACGTGACCTCATATACTCAGAGCGAGACATCTACCAATGGAGCTCAACCGATAATCTTCCATCATAAGTGCCCTACAAGATCGTGGTTCTTCGTGCGACTTGCATAACTATCCTCGATTTCTTTTTGTTCGTCTTGTGTGACTCGGCTGTGATCTTTTGCTTATGGAACTCAGTATCTTGTTTCAATCCCACTAGCAGCACTAATCGCAAGAGGAGCTCATATATGCCCTTCTCACTGGGCTCTAAGGAAAGGCTGCATGTTTTACTCCTTTGGTCACTGAGACCTCGGTTCAATTTGGAGCCTCCTCCCTAGACGATTTCGAGCATATGGAAGGTACTCCCGAAACCATACGCAAACAGATCTGAAAGGATTAACAGCACTATACAAGCTAGCAAGATGTGCCTGTGGAAAAAAAAAAGCTTGTGTTCCCCCATGAAGTCTCCCTGACCCCTGTTGCGAACAGCCTCCATAGCTATATCCATAGTTCTAGCACGCAGTTGCTACGTACAACAAAGGATCCGCGGGTCCCTACCACTCTTGAATCAATAGAGTTGTTTCGTCAGTCTAAACGTCTTTGCTGCAGCGGTGATTTTTTCCGACAACTCTCGACTATCCTCGGCGAGTTGTCTACTCTCAAACCTTATGATCCAGAGCTCTAGCCAGCTCCACGCCGTTCGGCAGAAACTTACGGGGGAGGTCGGACTGTTGATAAGCTTGAACAGCAAATCATTGAATCTGCATAAACAACGTCAGATTAATTGCAGGTTCCTTAGCGACGAGGTACTGCATAAGGTGCCACTGTACTCCTGAATGGCGAATAGCAGCTCTTTGCTCCAAACGCATGCGAGACTGGTTGTTGAACATTTTTACTGCTTACTGCAGGTTCAGTGATTCAAGCCATTGGGTCTATCTCAAGCTCCTCTAACCTGCCAATATTCTGCATAGCTCGCGTCTGAACGGAAAATAGCGCCTTTGTAATCTGGGTCACACAAAGTCCCAACCAATAGCAAACTTCTCGGTGAATCCTTTAATGTGCTAAGCATTCATATCTTCAGTGCATAAACCGCAATCCGAAGCTCCAGGCTAAGACCATCTCCACACTGGAGATGCTCTAGTTACCAAGGCGGAATGAGGTAGAGCATCCCCAGTTTTCGGCCCACGCATTCAATCCACAAACAAGCCAATAGACAACCATCCACACAGACCCCAAAAGTTTCCCAGGTTAACCTTCGTCGGGGTCAAATAGTCGTCAATAGCACCACTTTCTCCCCATCCACTTGCTAAGGAGCTTCAATTGCGGGGAATTGGGAAGTTTCGAATCTTAGTGCCCCTTTTTATCGGCGCCGTGGCGATCTACCAAACCTTGATGTTTACTCGCTTTTTCTCCCCCGAACAAGAAAAAGAAAACATCTGAACCAATCTTTAGAAACCAAAAATAGAGAAGCTCGTTGCAATAGTATAACCTGCAAAAAACAAAGCCCGAAGGAAAAAAAAAAAAAAAAAAAGAAAAAAGAAGAAAACTTCCTCGCCCTGATCTCAAACGTTTGATCCATAGTTAGAGACTAGCACTTACTAAGACTTGGTTCAGCCCTGAGGGTCTTCAGCATGAATTTGACCTGATTGCCGCCCTGAGCGAGTTCGGATCCCCACGCCTATCATTCCCGCATTGAGTTATTGTATCCTCGTCTACCCGAAAATAGACATTGCTGGATTGACACTTCTCTAACTAACTATCGGTACCGACCTATTGTTAGCTCCATCCCTACAAAGTGCTCGGGGACCTGAATTAGTCTGGAACTCTGGATAACTCCCCTGTTAGCCCTGTAGCCACTCCCGCGTCCCTCACGATCGATCTAATCCCCCTTTCGACAATGCTCCGAATATGACGGCTTAGCACCACGGAGCAGAATACTTTACTTTACTAGCAGATATGATTCGATTCGGATCTATTCAGATACTGATTCTTATCTAGTCTACTCTATCTAAGCAGATGCATTTTTGCCCGAGCCTCCATACGCGAGCAGTGAATTACTTACGTGCAGCGCGCAAACTGCGTACTAAGTAACTAGTTCCTAGGCTGCCTGTTAGTTGGTTGGCATGTGAATAAGAAGTGAGTAAGTGAGTGAGCAAAGTGGGTATATGTCCGTCGATCATAAACCCCAAAATCGCCCCTACACTACACTACACTACACTACACTACACCACCATAATAGCCAAGCCCATCAGGAGAAGAAGAGAACTGCGAAGCGAACCCTAGCCCATCGCATCGCGCGTTTAAACAACACTCCTAGAACCGACCATGCAACCAAACTACACATCTAGGAATATATTTCTCTCAAAAGACACCACTAGTAGCGGTAAACGGATTCATTCGGTCGCAAGGAACAGGGTTCGGCAGTCCGGGTAAGCACCGAACTGCCGGGTCAGACCTGGAGTTGTTTCACCATGTTAACTTAGCCATGAGCTTAAACCTGTCAGGGACTTTTTTCAGGGTCAGGGTTTCCCATGGCACGAATACCAACAAATGGGGAAATTCTGCACGCTTTGTGTCAGAGAATGTCATCGTCTTTTTTGGGGTAGGGGGGAAAGAGCAGAAAGATAGGGAGTTGTTGAAGTTTCGGTTTGGTTTGGTCGTAGTTTTGGTATGTATGTATGGGATTCGGAATGGTATGCGTGTAGTAGAGTACTAGCTATGAGGTAGTTGAAAATTTACGTGTAGTATCAGCTTGCATGAGGTGAAAGCATGTTGGTGGAGCGCGTTGGACTTTACTTTGGCACTATGTAGCTAGTATCTGAACAGAGGGGCAATAGTAGGCTGTTCTCTTGTACTTCCTTAGGTACCCAGTTGTCTAACTGTGAAACAGTGTCTATACTAAGTAGGTCTAGGAAGCAAGTTCTGTTTTCGTTAGGTCGGTGAGTTACTATTAAGCTATGTAGAATACAGTCAGTCCCAAGGGCCCGAATAGCTCCGAGTATGGTGATGGGTGATCATGCTCCCGGAATACATAATAGGTAAGTGGCTGAAGTAGCTAGCTGCCAATCACTCAGCTATACGTTCCAGGGTCCTGCTCGTGCCATGGCTCAGTTCCCTCCACTCTTTCCTCCCCGAGCGGACCCTTAAGCTTCATTTTTGGATCAATAGTTGCTGGGCTGAAACACCGGGGTTGCGGGAGCACTGCACTGACCGGATACCTCGATTGTCCGGTGCACGGATATTCGAACCACTATCTTCAAAAGGAGTTTCCTCCAATGACGCCATTCGTGTCCCATCTTCTTCTCATTGACGCTTATTTGGTCGACCTGTAATGTCCAGTAAGTGATGTTCAGGGTTCTTTGGCTGTTTCAAGTAAGAGACAGCGACAACTTTTGTGCTCGGGGTGAGTATCCGACTAGGAACTGTCGTTCTCAGATTGCTCCGCGCCAACATCAACAAGTTTGGAGTAATTGCTGATCTTGCGCCTCTTGCGGTTGCTGCGGCGTAAACTGCCTTCGTTGGAAATCCGACGATTGGGTGTTTGCTTGGAGCGAGGAGTTACGTTTTTGACGGACTTGGCTTGCTGTTCGGCTTGGTTCCTACTGTCTTTCCTCAAGACTCGATCACTGACTCGCCTTGGTGGGGACGCATCTTCATGAATAGTATGTTTCGGGGTATGGGATTGGCTTTGTTCGTTTGACAGTGACGCCAGTCTCTTCCGACTTCGGGTTTCTGCTGCAATACTTGTGGATTTTTCCTTTGGTACGAGCGCCTTCCTTCCACTTTCTTGAGCATCAAGAAGCGATTCTTCCAATTCATCCTCCTGAGAAAACGATCTTGTGATGCTGTGTAGCTCATCATTTGTCACTACTTGGGATGATTGAAGCGAGTCCTGCGGGATATCTTGGACGTACTGGGGTAAGTTAGCGTTATGATCTGCCTTCCGTTGCAGGTTAACTTACATGATGCTGGATCTTGATCATGGGGCCAAGTATCTCCGCTTGTAGCCTGGCTTGTATGTCCCCTGAGCTAGGGAACATGAACCTGGGCAGACCCTTTAGAGAAAATCCTTTGACTTTACTTCCCGGGGTCGGCTGGAGGAGTCTGCGCTTTTTCAGCAGATCTATAATCTGGACAAGGGTCTGCCCGTTGCAATCTGTGAAGGGTCAGAGGGTACAGCAATATAAACTCTGAGGTACTCACGAAGCTTCTGTGTGAATAGCGATGTTCTATGGGGATAACCCTCATTTAGGATGATCCTTACGGCTCTTCTCAAGAGTATCAAACTACTCATCTGATGGAGTATATGAGGTTCGTCCGGCATAAGCAAGCATTGATAGCAAGCATGAATGTCGGGGACTCTTGGGTCACGGGCATCTTCGTATCCATAGCATAACAAATGCTGACGCGTTTGACAAAAGGCACATTGGGCCTTTCAAAGTTAGTTTTGGTCTACCTATGGGTTGTCAACTTACCATGGCCTCCTCTTCACCATCCCAGCCGCATTGGCATCTGACACTATTTTGGTCCTTGGCTGTTCTCGTAGCGGTAGAGTCGTCTGAATGCAGATATTCCTTGATATTGTGCTTGCTTTCTTCCGTAAGGACAAACTTCTGACATCTCGTCGCAATGCCGTTCTCAAAGGCGGTGCCAGGTTTAAGTGGCTGTGTAGGTGCCAGTTCACCATTCGAACCTTCAATCCCTTGCGACTACCCAAATTAGTCAATTTGTCAACCGTCTCAATGCTCGATCCTCATGGGCCTTCAACTTACAGGTAGCATCATTTGTAATTGATGCTTTTCCACAAGATCCTGCGTCGACACTTTTTCGTTCTCGGCTTTCTGGCAAAGAGATAAGCAGAGATCAGTGTCCCGGCGAAAGCCGTTCTCCATAGATAGACTGCCACTGCCGCCCAGTGTACGCAAGATGTCCTCTTTATCATCAAATCCAATATCCTTCGTTCTTCGTACGGGGTCGTTGAATTCAAGATCAGGAGGTATCTGAGGCAGCGATTCTGCTCCCTCGGGCTCGGATCCGGTCCATTTGAGCGAGGTGACTTTAAGCCCAACACTACGCCATCTAATTAGTTAGGATTACCAAACATGGGTGGCCACTTACGTATGCCGTCCACTGTTCATATGTCCACAAGACTGCGATTCCCTTTTCCAGTTTTCGCTGAGAGGGAATTTGATCGTATCATCATCGGCCCCATTGAATCCCGGGGGCTCATAGTCAGGAGGGCAATCCTCCGTATAGAAAAGGTGCACCCCTAAGCTTCTCTTGTCTGTACATATTATGAGCGGCAGTTCAGGCGAGTGTATAAAGGTACATACTCGGTAGAGTGGGAAGAAAGGCACTAAGAGTGATCAAGCGCCGTACGATCGTCTCTAGGCCTATCCGGGCTGTCTGTGCAGTTTTCATGTCGGCCACACAGCCCATTGGTTTGAGAGATAAGCTTTCAAGGCGATTATTAACATCACCTTCCGCCCCTGCGTATCTAAAGGAGAATGTGTATGATTCTAGCACATTCTCGGGCGCATCCTTATCGACCAGTATGGTCAATTGAACAGCTTCAAGCACGTTTTTGCTAAGTGCATCAAAGATGCCGGTTTCCTACACATGTAAATAAAGAGGGTCATTACCAGTGATAATGGAAACTGACCAGAATATCAAGAATCATATCCGCTTTGAGATCTGATCCTCGGAGTATGATCTTCAGCGGCTGACCTTTCTTGCCTCTGCCAAATGGTACATCTTCTTTGGAATCGAGATCTTCTCTGGGCGTGTGCCTGTCAATGAACTGTCGATAAGAAAGGTTGCCCTCACGTTGGGCTTCTCTCAAGTCCCGATCGTCGAAACACGGAAGCGGTAGAAACTCCCTACGCAACACATATAAGACTGGCTCAAATCTAGGGATATTCGGACCGGCACCCAACGAACCGAAGATAAAAAAGTGTTCCGAACTATGTAGTGGTATCAGATATATGAAAGCGTATCATGGGAGAGAAAAAGCCGCATACCGAGACATGTAGCATGATCTGGACCATCTCCAGGCTCTGTAGTTGCTGCAGATGCATGCTTTCTTGGAGCTTCAGAATGGCGGAAGCTTCAATCACATCTTGTGCCCTGATGCGAGCAACAGGCTTGCTGTCAGCGGCAAGGGACTGGAGATTCTGCGGAGTCTGTACCTGGACCGTCGACGGAGGCCCGGTGAACTTAATTCGAACCATGCTGGGTCGCTATATAGTGAAACTGCGCTACATGTAGGCATTCAGGAGTAGAACTATGAAATATGGCGGTCAGCAAATCATGCTAGGAAGAATGAGACTGGGGATTGAGGCACCGTGTGAAGAACCAAAGTCAGGTTGACGACAAACGAATACCCACGGTAAGGTCACGGGAGTCGCCAGTGCGTTTGTCCCTCCATTGATACTGAAATTTCTTGACAACAGAATTAGGCAATGCACATAAATGGTTGCTCTGTATGTATGGGAGCAATAGTGCAATTACTTCATATGTCTTCTTATGTCATGCTTTGGGGGAAATTTACGTCTCACGTAACGTCGTCCCCAGCTGGTTTGAAACTATATATAGAGAGGGGGTGAAGTCGGGTTGGTGTCTGTAAATTACCCGTCACTTCAATGGTGTTGCAGATACCACATACGTCGAGAATGGTACAACCAATAATGCTATGGCGATGAAATGGTCGGTTTGCATTCCTGAGCGGTTTTTCCTGAACAACGAACGGACAGAAGATTGTCCGAGACATCGTGTAGGGAAGATAAACATGATGCGTCAACTTGATCTGCTTCAACTTGATCGAAAGGGTGTTTATACCCCTTTCATGAAGCAGTGTCCATTTGCAGGTTGGTAGTCTAGAGGACAAATTGTATTGCTACTACTCAACACCTAAGAGCCGGTATATTTGGGGTAGTCGGGGCTGGTTTGGCTGGAAACCAGACACATGCCTGGCTGATAACGCTGGTCTGAAACAGTCGATAGGGCAGTCCCGCGGTAGATGAAATTACGAGCCACAACCCCCATCCCCTCATCCTGTGTGATACGCACTTATCTCTGTCATTTCCCCGCAATGTCCTCTGTCCACATTTCACACCCAGGTAGTTGCCATCCTATTTTGAGAAACTTTTTTTTTATTAAAATTACTTATCTGAACAACGTCTGATGAGTAACTGATAAGGTTCAATGTGTGTAAAGCATGAGTGTATCAGTCGCTTCCTAATGAAAAGACTGATATGGGGTGGTTGCTAAGTGCACTAACTGCATGGTCGGTTACCGGTAACCGAAGATTCCAGCCAGCAAGTTTACCTGTGTATTTCTATCTGTCTACCGCAAGCAGTTGAATCATCGAATCGAAAAAGACGCCAAAGGAATTCTGGACGATACAAGGAACCCCACCAAGTCACGTGTATTGGACCAGTGGCGAAGCCAGCCAAGAAAACCAACGGTTACTGGGTCAAGGACTACTGGAAATTCTGCGAAAGTCTGAGGTCACAAAGCGAATGAAATTGCGAAGGCACGAGAAAAAAAAACGTAAAAAGTGAGATGTCATATGCAGTTGGTGTGCTGGAGCCATATCTTCTAAGTGTGAAGAGATCTGGGATGATGGAATCTGGCGGCGGCTAGTATCATCCATCCACAAAACACAAAACGATTTTAAAATTTCCTTGTTTTGGGGTGAGAGTCTTTGAGAAATAGATCAGTGGGGACAAAGCAGGCACCGTCATGTTGATATAAAGTACCTTCATACGTAGTGGCCCAGTAGGATAATAATCTGGTAATAAAATAATTACTTTAAAAGTGGGCAAGCAACTTGTTAGTAGTTAGTGCTGTATCCAGTCCCCTCCCGAAAAAGAATCTAGCCATAAGTCTAATACTCACAAGTCACAACACCCGTCAACTCCACCATTGGATACATCGTTATAACGATCCTGGAAAGTGGTTCTCATCCCCAGGGAGAGTTGCTCCGAGCGCTGGGTGATCCCCGACTGCAGGACGGCAAATTCAGAACCCGCCTTGCCTCTAAGGTTTTTTCCTTGACCCTTTTTCATTTGTCTTCGTTGCTCCTGTTTTCTTTCTTTCCATTCCTTTTTCTTCCTCCATCACTACACCTATTCTTCTTCTACCGCCTGCCATCTTTCTTCCTCACACTTTCTTCTCCTCTCTCTCTGTCTCACAGATGGGGAATCATCGGCCGTCAATATATTTTAAATAGGATTTAGTCTTCACATTGCGGAGCCACCAGCCTCGGGAAGCCGCCAGATTGGGCTAGCCGGGAGCCACTGAGGACAGAACCGCCGGCTGCTGCGAAGAGCCTAAGCCTGACCTGAAGGAGGCACAACCAACCACCTTCTGGTTCAGCTCCCTCGATCATTCTCCGCCGCCCAACACCTCCTTGTCAGCAGAGCACGCCACAGCCTGCCCTCGTTCACTTCCCTTCACCTTCTCTACACACCGGCCTATCTTCCACACCCCGTCCAGGCCCTTATTCGTTCGGTACTCACGGTCATGTTTTAACGATCACTCCTCCACAGCTGTGCGCATTCGGTTGCTCTTTGCGGGCGTGTATACCTGTTGGCGGTCCTCATTTGACACCGACTTCTTGCTGGACGTACGGCCGATCAACTCCATCACATAAACAACAATCCCCCATTCTCACCACCAGCTCCTCGACACGAAACAGCCCTCCAGCAGCCAGATCTGATGCGTCATAGCCAACAAGTCTGTCGAAGCTGATTCATCCTTGCCACGCCATCACGCTACTACACGCTCTTCCTAGTAACTCAACCTCGGACATACATACCACTGAGTCGGTCGCATATTCGTTCGGCAACCTTATCATGGAGGAAGATGGAAATGGTCGGGGCCTCGGTCCTGGGTCTCCCAGTACCTCCGTCGGTCAATTTTCCTTCGCCCCTGCTACCCGAACTACTGTTGTTACGACGACAACTACAACCACTACGACGTTTCCTCCCGTGCTCATTAGGCCGCCACGCGCGATGCAGGATTTGGATCCCAAGGTGTACCCACTGGCATCTGCCCCTACACCATCGGCGTTGCGAAATATACGATTTGAACTTGGTGGTAAATCGGTTGTGTTTAATGAACCGGAAGATACTGCGGGCACATTGAACGAGGTACGTCTTTATTTCTTGTTTTTCGCGAGCCCTTCCACTTCCCGGCTACGTGACTTGACTCCTGGACCCTGTATATTGACTTCAATAGTTGCATGAGAAGAATGACGCGCTCAAAACCTCGAACGGTCTTGTGCGATCTGTGGCCTCCTTTACTTCGGACGATACCCAGCTATCAAGGCGTCTTGCACATAGAACCTCCAACCAGCCATCCAACCACCTGTCTATCTCCAAGCGTCGGCTTACGGAAGCGCAACAGGGGTCATTACGGGCACGTTCCGCGCGAGTACCCTCAGAGCCTTCGTTCCGTCCCGCTCGTTCTCATGGCTCCACGCCAGTACATCCTACCGTGGCTGGCTTAGCCACCCCGGAGACGGAAACCAATAGCAACAACGCCATGGAAGGCATATTGTCGAGAAGGAGGATTCACAGTGCGAGTAATGCTCGTAGGGAGACATTACTGCGGTCTCCTTTATCCTCGGAAGTTGAGTCTCAGGGGTCCTCGCAGACAGTGGACGCCAGAAAAGAGACCTTGCGTACAAATACTATCATGCAGGAACATGACAGACAATCTGGCTGCGCTAATGAGACCGGTTTTGCCAGACCTGCATTGGAAAGGACGGGGTCGGACCCTCGACAACAATTGGCCGGGATTGCTGCAAGTCAGGATTCAGGTTACGATGCACCGGGTGACGGTTCTCGGCATCTGCCTACGGACTCGTCTTCACAGCCTTTTATTGACAATATCGTTGCCCAAGATATGTGTTTGCCCAGTCCCAGTTTGTCTCCAGTGGCGGCTCTAAATGCCGCGAACATCGATTCCTCTTTCGATTCTGCTGAAGACCAAGAGGACACGGACTCTAGTTTTGATAACAGTGATTCTCGCTTTATTGGGCCTTTGCCCGTAGGGGACTCCAATGGCGAAGCGACTTATGTTGCCAAGCCCGAACAGCTTGCAGGACCCATGATGCAACGCCCCACTTCCATGATGGATATACCTAATGTGCTGGACTTCTTTGACTCGGTACCTGACAGTATGAAAACATATATGATGTACCAATTCCTGAGGCGCTGTCCGAAACAGACGCTGCACTTTGTTGCGGACGTTGTTAACCCTGCCTTGAAATGTGACTTCCTGTCCCTGCTTCCGCTTGAGCTCAGTCTTAACATCGTGAAATATTTTGACGTTCAGACCATGTGCCGCGCGGCTCAGGTGTCCAAGAAATGGAGGCATATCATCAATTCTGACGAAAAGTCCTGGAAGGAGCTTTTTGATAGGGACGGATATGTTCTTCCCGAGGGCGAGTTGGATCGTGCGATCAGGGAGGGCTGGGGATGGCAATTTCCGAATGGCTGCGAGGATTATGAGAAGGACATGAGTTTGTCTCCTTTTATCAAGCCAGATCCAGAATCTTCTGTTCCTGCCTTGCAATCCTTTGGTGAGTCTAGTGATAGGACTTTGTCCGTGAGTCGCCGGCCTAAGAGGAAAGCTTGCACCCGTGTCTCTAGCCGTAAACTTTCGAAGCGAAAGATCTCCTCCAGTGGCACTGATCACTCCGAATCTTCGGACTGGAGGATAGAGGTTTCGGCTTCGGAAGGACCTTATGCGGCGGCGAACGCTGCGGCGGCGGCCGTCCCATATCCGGACATCGGCTTGCCATCGCTTCGCGGTCTTCACCTCTACAAATCGCTATATCAGCGTCACCATTCGATTCACAGGGCTTGGATGAAACCAGTTGTCAAGCCAAGACACATCGCCTTCCGCGCCCATGATCGCCACGTTGTCACTTGTCTCCAGTTCGATACGGAGAAGGTGCTTACTGGGAGCGACGACACGAACATCAATGTTTATGACACTAGGACTGGTGAGCTCAAGGCCACTCTTGAAGGCCATGAAGGTGGTGTATGGGCACTTGAGTATTATGGCAACACTTTGGTTTCTGGGTCTACCGACAGGTCGGTAAGAGTTTGGGACATCGAAAAGGCTCGGTGCACTCAGATATTCCATGGCCACACCTCCACAGTGCGCTGCCTGCAGATTGTTTTACCGGTCGAGGTGGGAAAGAAGGCTGATGGCACACCTGAGATGATGCCAAAGGAACCGTTGATCATCACAGGCTCTCGTGACTCAAACCTTCGTGTCTGGAAACTTCCTAAACCAGGAGATCCGGGTTATTATCAGAGCGGACCTCATGTCGATGACACAGACTGCCCATACTTTGTCCGTGTCCTCACTGGGCACCAGCACTCTGTCCGGGCGATCGCAGCGCATGGTGACACGTTAGTGAGTGGAAGCTATGACTGCACCGTGCGTGTATGGAAAATATCTACAGGAGAGACTGTACATCGGCTTCAAGGTCATACTCTGAAGGTGTATAGTGTCGTTCTTGACCACAAGAGAAATCGTTGTATCAGTGGATCCATGGATAACATGGTTAAGGTGTGGTCATTGGAAACGGGTTCAATTCTGTACAATTTGGAAGGGCACACGTCCCTTGTTGGTCTGCTTGACCTCAAGTGTGACCGTCTAGTGTCGGCGGCTGCGGACTCTACGCTGAGGATCTGGGATCCTGAAACTGGGCAGTGCAGGAACATGCTGAGCGCCCACACCGGTGCAATCACTTGTTTCCAGCATGATGGCCAGAAGGTCATTTCTGGATCAGACCGGACACTGAAGATGTGGGATGTAAAAACTGGGGATTGTGTCCGAGACCTTCTCACCGACCTTAGTGGCGTGTGGCAGGTAAAGTTCAACGACCGGAGATGCGTCGCTGCAGTGCAGCGTGACAGCTTAACATACATTGAGGTAAGTTCATTTTTTCAAATATTCAATTGCCAGCTACTAAGAAAGCTCAGGTCCTTGACTTTGGCGCTTCCCGCGATGGAGTACCAAGCGAACAGCTAGGAAGACGCATCGTCGTCAATAGATGGGGTCAGGAAGTCAGTGACACTGACGAAGATTACGACCTTTCGGACGCCTGAACATACTACGTCTGTCGCCTACTGCCTACTTCACTGCTTGGGCAGATGAAGAAACTTTGTCCCTTTGCGACAGGCAACACGAACGGCAATTTTCTCACGTTATATTCCCCCTTTTTCTTTTTCGCAACATATTCGAACCATGACATAACTACGATACCCCCAATCAATGCAACTATAATTACCTTTATGAGAGTTTGCATAGCGCGGTTAGCATCCCTTGACATGCTGCATCATGACGGACAGGCGTTTTGGCATTCAAAACGGACTCACCAATCAGCCTCTTGTCTAATAACTCTTCTCTCTTACCTCCTCGATCATACTACATCCGCATGCTCGATATGCATCCTTTTGTCCTCCTGTCCGCCTCTGTTTAACACGGGCGCTCCCGTCCCCGAGCTTCTACATATTCCGACTACCCCGTCTCTGTTTTATATCCGAATACTATAGACTTGAAGTGGCTTTATCTGCAATCGAATACGATATGATTTTTGTATCTACAATCCAGCTATCCTATTCTTCCGTAAGCATCTCCGTGCACTCGAGGTCACAACCTTGTCGAGCGGTTTTAGCCTGGAAGCGCATGGCTCCATCGTAAACATAGCCGAAGATGAGACTATGGCTTTTTCCACTTTCCCCCGCCTGCCCTGGGAAGCGCGGTGTAAGGTGGCGCGGTCCTTAACAGGCCGAAAACCATGGTGCAGGCTGAGCGGCATGGAATCCTGGGCCGGGCTCGAGGTACGAGGCCGCACATACCGCGAATTACTCCACGGGCCCAGTATTGCATCTCTAGGTCAGATGATAAATACTCAGCATGTAAAGCAGTCCCAACATCCACTAGGTAATCGCTGCAGCAACAGCGACATGAGATTAGCAGAGCCCCGTCACGCGATCTTTCTCGCAGCTAGCCAAGCTGGCCAGTCCATAAGGATCAGTGCGCACTATCAACGAACATTTCAGCAGCCAGAGAAGGCACCAAAACCCCTCAAGGCCCAGCCCCAGAGGACATAGTTGACCCCGTCAGATCAGGTTGGCCATAGCTAGACTTCACCTCCATCATCCCATCATAGCCCGCAGCAGACAAAATAGCCCAACGAATGGGACTAATCCCCAAGTAATTCCCCGGTGTCCGGAGGACCTTCGAACTGCATGTCAAAATCTCCCCCAAAGCACCGGGGCCCTCGTCTCGGCCAACAGGCTGGATGATAGGACGGAGCTCCTGTATCTTCTTCTGTGTCTGGAGCAGACGTTCCTCCGTTACTCCAGTCGCGAGCTGGCTCGTCCTCGCCGCCATGATATTATCCACTTTTGAGACGATGATCTGGTGCGGGATGGCGTAGTGGCGGAACAATTCAAGTATGCCTTCGTCGGAGTGCTTGATGCCGTGCTGGCCGTCGATTAGGATGAAGGTGCGGCGGAGTCTAGAGGTAGATTAGTTTGTTAGCATGTAATTTACTGTGATATATGTGTGCTTAGGGTAAGCAGGCAATACTCACTGTTTCCTATTTTTCAAATACTTCATAATCTCATTACCCCATTCCGATCGACTCCCCTTTCCGTATCCCGGCATATCAAGCAACACGACCTTCGACTCGCCGCCCTTTGTCCCTCCGATCCCGAATGCATTCATCGTCTGCGTGCGCCCTGGTTTCGACGACGTCCAGCATATTTCCTGCCCCATAAGGGCGTTCAATAGCGAGCTTTTACCGACATTCGACCGCCCTAGAAATGCTACTTCGGGAGTGGTCGAGGAGAGCGGCGTCGTGCGGAACTTGCTCAGGGTCCAGAGCTTGATTGGGGAGTGGCGCGAGGGAGCGAAGAATTTGTCTGCGTAGGCGAGTTGGCTTTCATCCGGTGCTTGTGTGTCCCAGTAGTAGTTCACAGCTGTGGCGGGGATGTCTCTGAATTGTAGTTTGTTGTTGGGCTGCGGCCGCGGTTGCGGTTGTGATTGCGGATTCGGAGGTTTGCTTGTCGAATAGTTGCGATAAACGGGGAGGGCTTTCGCTCGAGGATGGCAGAGGGGCCTTAATGAGGAGATTCGGTTTTTCATGATGTGCTGAGGGGTCGAGTTAGACGGAAGAGGTACTGTGATAGACTTCTAGTAATTGGATGGATTTCTTCGAATTAATGAGCTTCTCCAGAAATTGTCCCCGGATAAGAAAGTCTTCCGAGCTGCGGTTCGAAGCTCGGGGAACCTTTGCCGAGTCTCCGCTCCAGGCCGATAAGGCAGTCCGAGGGACAGCTTCATCTATCGCTCATCATCGGTCATTATTCCACCCCTTACACGGTCACTACTTTTGCGTGCTGCTCTTTTCCACCAACTGGCTTAATTACATATCCCTATTTCGTACTTAGGAATTATTCTTTGATTTCTATTCCCCGCAGAAAACATCCATCCACCGAGCTAAAATCACCCGTGCCCCGCGGACACTGCACTGCACCAAGATGATCAACGCCGTCCTCGTCTTCAACAACAACGGACAACCCCGTTTAACCAAGTTCTACACACAGATCGTGGGTCTACACTCAATCGCATCTTCCCAACCAACCCACCCCTCACCTACCAAGCATCCCATACTAACCTTCCAACTTACCAGGACACCCAAACCAAACAATCCCTAATCGCGCAAATCTACAACCTCGTCTCCCAACGCCCCGCCAGCGCCTGCAATTTCCTCCCCCTCCCACCACTTCTCTCCCGCGGCGCAAGCTCCGGCGCAGAAAACGGCCCCTCCGACGCCCCCACCCAAATCACCTACCGGAACTATGCCACCTTGTCGTTCATCATGATCTCCACGTCGACTGAGTCGCCGCTGGCGCTGATCGATCTAATCCAGGTCTTCGTGGAGGCGTTGGATCGCATGTTCGAGAACGTGTGCGAGCTGGATCTGATCTTCGGGTATGAGACTATGCATGCGGTGCTGAGTGAGATGATTGTTGGGGGTGTGGTGGTGGAGACGAATATTGATAAGATTGTTTCGGCGGTCAGGGATCAGGAGGGTAATTTGGGGAAGAAGAGGGCTATTCAGGCGGCTAGTTCGGGGATTGGGAGGACGGGGCTGCCAGGGTTGGGGGCTTGGAGGTGAGGTGAGCGTGAGCTGATGGGTTGAGGTATGTTACGATTAGGTTACGATATGGGTTGCTATTATGTTTGGTTCATGTTTGGTTCGGTGGGAGGCTGTTGGTGTGTTATATAGATGGATAGTGTTATGGATACCTGAGCGTGAGTTTGGCGTTTCTAGTGGAGGTATGTTGGGAATTAGATTCATAGATGTCTTTTGACATAAATGACAATGGAGGATGTCTCGAGAACAGTACAACTAATAAGTGTGTTGCATGCTATGGACCCACTAAAGTAATAGAGAATCCATTAAACGGATGAGTGCGCATATCAACTGAATACTAGTAGACGACCATCATCAAAGTCTAGACTGCCATGCAAATACATGTAAGAGACATCCAACATGATTGGCCCATCCTGCTACATCAACCCCAAGGGCTAACCCTACATCACCTGACCGAGCCACAACCCAGCCCCGGCAAACAAGATAATCCGCCCGCGGCCCACACAAGCAAACGGCGCTAATGGATTTCTTCTCAGAGCGCGAAATTAATTGAACTTCTTCTTTTCTTCTTTCTCTTGACTGTCAATCCTGCACCCAACGCCGCCGCGGATCCCGTCGACAAAATGGTAAGCACATAGAATCGTCCATTCAACGCCTCTTCTATTCAATTAGAATTGAGCCTATCGACTATACGCTGCGAAACATGTTGTGAGACGAGAATTGCTTCCGTCTCGCTTCATATCGCAACATGTCGAGAAGCGACACAAATTTCCGTTGACTCGCTTCTACTTCCTCTTCTTCACAATCCGTAAAACGATTGCAAAGGATGAGGAGGAGGTTGTGATCAGCGATGATTTTTGGCTGGAGGTTATACACAAACTGCTCCCTCAGGGAAAATCTTGGAAACTTGGTTTTTCTCTGTGGGAACAGTTTGTGTATCCTCCCTAGAGTTCAAGGAAGATGCAGCAAGATGGTGGAACAAGATTGCTGATCTTCTTTTCTCAATGATAGCCTGCCCAGAAGTCCGGAAAGAAGACTGCTCCCCTCCCTTACCCCCAGGGTAAGGCTGGCGCTAAGAAGGCTCCCAAGGTAGGCATTCATACCCTTATCAATACTGACCAACATGAAAAATACTAATATGGTATGAATAGAACCCTCTCATCGAGAAGCGCCCCCGCAACTTCGGCATTGGCCAGGACATCCAGCCCAAGCGCAACCTCGGCCGTTTCGTCAAGTGGCCCGAGTATGTCCGTCTGCAGCGCCAGAAGAAGATCTTGAACCTCCGTCTCAAGGTCCCTCCTTCCATTGCTCAGTTCCAGAACACCCTGGACCGCAACACCGCTGCCCAGACCTTCAAGTTCCTCAACAAGTACCGTCCCGAGACCAAGGTCGAGAAGAAGGAGCGTCTCCACGCCGAGGCCACCGCCGTCGCTGAGGGCAAGAAGAAGGAGGATGTCTCCAAGAAGCCCTACAACGTCAAGTACGGTCTCAACCACGTTGTCGGCCTCGTCGAGAACAAGAAGGCTTCCCTTGTCCTGATTGCTCACGACGTTGACCCCATTGAGCTGGTTGTCTTCCTGCCCGCTCTTTGCCGCAAGATGGGTGTCCCTTACGCTATTGTTAAGGGTAAGGCTCGTCTTGGAACTGTTGTTCACAAGAAGGTATGTCAAATTCCCACTTTCGTATCTACACACCTCGATGATGGTGGGCTAATAATTATTGGTATAGACCTCCGCTGTCCTCGCTCTCACCGAGGTCCGCTCCGAGGACAAGGCCGAGTTCGCCAAGCTCCTCTCCGCCGTCAAGGAGGGCTACTCCGACAAGTACGAGGAGTCCCGCCGTCACTGGGGTGGTGGTATCATGGGCGCCAAGGCTGTTGCCCGCCAGGAGAAGAAGCGCAAGGCCGTTGAGGGTGCTATCCGTGTCTAAAAAGCTAGCTAGCCTAACCAGCGAGCTACTAACAACACCGACGGGATAAAAAAAAATCTTATACCATCAACGAAACTTCTAATGACCTCATCTTCCTATCCTATTTTCCTATACTCTTCATGTACACGTTGCAGATACCCATGAATGCTATTTCAGACATCATCAACAACCACAGCTTCGGTTTTGTTATTCTTTTTGTGTGTGTGTGTGAACTTTGTAGGAAGTTGTCTTGGGAGTTTGAGCATTCATGTGACGTCTGCAATATGTACATCTTAGTTGTAGATCGAAGTAAGTCGTAAAGTCTTTGGATCGATAGCTTGTGTGTACTAGTGGGTAGCAAGAAACCCTTGAAAGAAAATTTGTCTAGGCTGTGATCTAGCCCTTTGACCCGGCCCCACAAATTAACTGCCGATGCAGTGCAAGCCAACCATACCGATAGAGCAAACAAGTCATGACCCGTACAATACAACAACACATTATAACATGGTACAGAAAGGTTTGGTTGTCTATACATCAATCAAGTCATGTAATCACTCAAGCAGAAAAAAAAAGGTATGGCAATGGTATGGTATGATGGTATGGAGCAAAACACAAACAAGAAAAACACAAACTCAAATCAATGCACCCAGATGCCCCCCTTGAACCCATTTGTTTCCCAGTCCAGGCAAGAGAATGTCCACGCACACCCCAATGTAATAAAACGCAAAAGCAATCCGAACTAGAGTGTATAGATGGTGGTAGTGGAAGAAGGATATTGACCGAAAGACCCGCCCAATGAGAAGATAAAAGAGACAATGAAGCTAACTCAGCGAAATGAGAACGAAGAACACTTCCGGGGAATAGGTAAGTGTAAAAGGAGGTGGAGAGTAGTCGTGTCATTCATTCATTCATCAGCGTTGAGAGGGTGGTCGTGTAAGCCCTTGCCTTGCCTGTTGCACTTCCAAGTCAGCAAATGTTTCGCCAGGAACAGATCAGAGAACAGGTTATCGTTGATCCATACCTTCATTTGTTCGATTCTTGCCTTGAGTTGGCTGGTAACTTCCGCAGCTCTCTTCCAGCTCTCCGCTGGCTCGGCACTCCTGGCGGGTTGTTCTTCGCCAGAAGCACTGCCCGAGCCCAGTCCTGATGACCGAGTCGGACTTCCCAAGCCAGAGTAGCCGGTACCAAAGCTAGGACTGAGCTTGCGCCGACCAAGTCCTGCCTCTCTAGCGCTGAGTCCCGAGGATTCCAGGCCATTGTTCTCCTTCTCCTCACTCGGGCTAGCCGAAGCATAGGAGCGCGGCCGTGAGCTCTCGAATCGCGAGCCCATGAGACCAGCCCGTGACATCGGTGCACGGCCATCTTCTTGGTATACGGAGCCTGATTCGGACATGGGCATACCGATATTCTCCGGTAGGGTGTTGGGAGGGCTAATGGCACTAGCACGAAGAGCTCTTGCGAGCTCACGCTTCAGGCGCTCAATTTCCCGCTGCTGCTTTTGTACAGTCTGCTCCGCTGACTCTGCATCGCTTCGTGCGCGAACCAGTTGGGTTTCCTTCGCCTTGATACTCAGGACATCCCTTGTGTGGTCTTCAATTAGCTGCGCGTTCTGGTCTTGAAGCTCCATCACTTGCGAGTTCAGCTTGGTCCTCTCAGACCTCAGGTCCTCAACCATACGCATAAACCGCTCCTTCTCCGCACGTAGCTCATCCAACTCGGCTCGTTCCAGGGCCGAGATTCCGCTGAATTGAGGAGCTGCAGGAGCGGGCGCAGGCTCGCTGGGAGCCGCTGGTTTCGCAATCGGTCGGCCTGCAAGTCCTCTTCCCAGACCAAATTTGGGAGGTGCCGGTGCAGGCGGCTGCTCCTCCGTGGGAGGAGAGACAACCCGCCGCTGCGGAGATGCAATTCCTCCAGGGCCACCGAGCCTCTTCTTGAGACCGCCAGGAGCCGGCAGACCACCAGGTTTGGCGGGCCCTCCAAGCTTAGAAGGAACGGACCTTGCGGGCTTGGGTGACGGAGCAGCTACGGGTTCCTCGACAGGAGGCGCAGCAGCAGCCGGCCTCTTGGCTCCCAGTGCAGGCTTCTTCGCCACGACCTTCTTTCCAGGGGCAGGTTTCGGGGGTGCCACGATCGGCTTAGGTCTATCCTTAGCCTTGACCTCCGCTGTTTCGAAGAATTCCTTGATTTTGGTCTTCCTGATGTCGTCGAGACCGTCCAGATAGGGGTTCATCGCCCGCTCGCCCATGATCTTCATCAAGGTACCGAGAACTTCAGCTCCTCCGGCACGGTTGACCTCAGTAGATTCAGTAAGGAGTTTCGTGCCTGCCTCAGCTATCGACTTGACTTCCGGCTTCGCCGGAACATCTCTGGTTGTACGTAGGCAACGGATCAAGAACTTGAGTGTTTCCTGTTTGACTTGAGGGTTCTTGTGCTTGAGGAATTCGAGAATCTCCTCCAGGCACTCTGACAAGCTAGTCGCGATGAATACTGCATCCAAAGCTTGACCCAGGGCATCCGCCACACTCTGCTTCTTTTCCTTCAAGCGCTCCAGCATGGGCGACATGATGGTAGGCCGATACTTGACGAAACCACTGCGAATTCCCTTGGCAAGAAGTTCGACACAGTTGGCGGCAACGGTTACAACGGCGATGTTTGCATCCTTCATGGATTTAGCCAACATACGAATAACGTCATCGAACGGCCCATCCTTGATCCGGGGAACGTTCAATACAGTGTGCAGAGCGTCCAAGGCCTCTTTCCTATCCTTCCACTTCGAAGAAGAAAGCTGCTCCTGGAAGTTACCTGGGATCTTGGAGAAGACATCAACGGGCTCGGCCAGATCGAAAGCATCGACCTCTCCTTCATCTTCCTCTGCCGGGTATTCCTCGCCTCCTTCAAACTCATCGTCATCACCCTCTGGCGCAGCGCTGGCTGCGGCCATGGCATCTTGCTGTGCCCTCGTGAACCTCTCCTGCTTGGGCGCCGGCTCTTGCTTGACATTTTCGAACAGCTTCTCCAGATCCTGTTGTTGTACGGGCTTGAGTTCGTTCCAGAAAAGCGGTTTGATGGCTTCCTTCAGCCAGCGGTAGAGTTCCACAGTGAGGTTTTGCGCTTCCGCACGGACGTTCTTGTCAGCATGACCGAAAACCTTTGGCAAAGCCTTCAACACAGGCTTGGGGTCAACAATCTTGCAACCAAAGTTGTGATAAATTGCTCTCAGTCCTGCCAGCCCAGCGGCAATAACCTTGGGAACTTTGTGTGACAGAGCGGGGAGCATTTCTTCGATGACGGGGTCCGATTTATCCAGCTCAACACATAATAACAGGGCTTCGATCGCATTCGTTTTGGCAGCGGGTCGTGTGGATGGGAGACCCTTTTCACATATCGGGAAGACGGTGGTTGCTCGGGTCCTTCATCACACATGTTAGCCATCAACCACCATAAATTAGTCAAACAGCACCATTATTCCAAAAATATACCTTGTACAAGCCTGAACACCACCGAATTTCAAGAATGCGCAATAAGATCCAAGACCTTCTTGTTGAGCCGCAACATTGGAGTCTGCCACAGCCCCTTTCCACAAGCCGGGATCTTGTATGAACGGCGTGAAAACGGGATCCGACTCATCAGGCGACTTCTCGAATTGTTGTTTCGCATCCTCATATCCATTCTTGCGGGCTTTCCAGTTCTAATCCGAGAGCATAGACATGTCAGTATTCAGATATATAACAACAACCCCGCGAACCCGAAACATGCGGGAAACGGGAGCAAAACAGCGACAAACTAACCTTGTGCGAGAACCGATCCGTCAATGGCAAGGAAGAGAAATCCTCCTCCTCGGCCATATTGAATGTCTAAGAATAAGTCTGTAAAATGGCAATCAGTTAGCATCGAACTTCGATTTGGTTTACTTGCAAGCGTGCAGTCCCATCACTAAGTGGCTTATGGCTTGAAGCCCCAAATAGCGACGGACGCTTATCGCTAACAACTGAATAAAGCACACACACCTTGGGGTTTATTCGTAGTAGCGTATATTCCGATCGCAGATCTCGTGCACGGGCGGCGGCGGCGGCGGAAAGTTGACTGACTGACAGAAAGGTTGGTTCTGATTGAGAGGGGCTTTTTGCTTCGGGTTAGGTTCGCCGGATGAATAAGGTAACTAGTTTTCGTGAGAGTATGGGGTGTCGAAAATAAGGGGGGGAAGAGAGCGCGACGTCAGGGGAGGGGGGAAGAAATTGAAAGAGTCTAATGGAGGCGGAAGTGGGGGGAGAAATTGATGAAGTCAACAAGAAAGTAGAGAGAGGAGAGAGAAAAGGGAAGCTGGAAAGTAAACAACGGATCAAGAGTCGCTGGGGTGACTTTCGCGACCCAATGGAAAAGGCTTGGCTTGGCGGCGAACCAACTTTCGAGAACTGATTTGGTTATATAACTTGACTGCCCGGTCAGGTACCAATTTGGGAGGGGGGAGGTTATATAGATATTGGGAGAGTATGTAGTTGTAGCTATCTGGGAAATAGATTGTATATTATGGATGTTTTGAGTTTGGTGAATAGTGGTTTTTTCCATGTTGTACTGTTCGTGGAGGTTGTCTCCTGTGATGTAGAAGTACTTGGGAGTACATCTGCCGGCATATATTTCCAGTGTGGATGTGAGGTTACTTATAAGTCGATTTGCCAGACATATCCTGGAGAACAATATTTAATACATGCGTAGTTACTGATGATACTTATTAAGGTAACCAGTAAATTATTATTCGAATTATTGTACATTCGAGTCTATACTCAACCCCGCAAGAAAAGCGATAGTCACGTGATATTTCTTCAGAACAGTATCTGCATTTCACCTGGATTGTTCCTTCTGTATCATGCAAGAAATGTCATGGCCTAGTTATTTTCTGCTTCTTCAATAGCCTGCATGTATGTTGCATGAGTCAGTAGTCTAGACTAATTGAGGATGTCGCTGTATATCGTGCAGTGGGAACTACCGTATATCGTACTACCAAGAACATTGCTATGTATTCCCCAGTAGATGATTGTTACTACTTCGCAGTTATACTAGCACAAAGGGTAATAGTATTCACGCTATTGGTGTATGGCCCTAAATCCTAGTAATATCGCAGAAAAGGTGCTCAACCAACCCAGCTACACATCTACACACAACCAACCAACCAACCCAACAGCCAATCCAAGACAAAAGCACAACATGCCATGGAAAAGTAAATAGCTAGTAATATACAGACACACAATGTTTACATACAACATATTCGAACAGATCAGAGATAAAAGGAAACCAATCCCACAACAACCAAACCAACCCATCTATCTTTAATTTCAACTCTACCCCCCCTCTCTCATCCTCCATTCCTCAATCAAACCCACCTACTCAATCAAACACAACCTAAACCTCAACTCCCCCAGTCCTCTCAAGCACCAACCTTCTAATCCTCCCAACATGCTCCCCACCCTTCCCCTCACTCTCAGACACACCAGCCTCGGCCCTCCTCGCCTCCCTACGCTCCCACTTAGCAGCCCTCTTAGCCGCACGCTCAGCATCCCTCTCCGCGCGAGTCAAAACAGCCGGTCTATCCTCAATAGCAGATCCAAACGGCGCAATGATTCTCTCCACAACGTGGCGCACGTTCCGGCTCTTCGGGTAGCCGGACGAGAACTCAATGACGTCGCCCTCGCGCAGCGAGTTGCGCGGATCCGACACCAAGTAGTTCGTTACCTTGGGGTAGGGCTTCTGGATGTGTGCGTCCCAGATGGTGTGGCGGTGGCTGACGCGGACGGTGCGGTCCATCCGGCCGACGGAGACGACGGTGCCGGTCTTAGTCTTGTAGGGGTAGCTGCGGAGGGAGGGGGGGACGGCGGCGGTGGTGGTAGTAGTGGAGGTGGATGACAGGTCTGCTTCTTGTTGTTGTTGTTGTTGTGATTGTTGCTGCTGCTCGTTGAGTCGGGGGACGGTGGTCGTGAGAGAGCGCAGGGTGGTCTGGTATAGAGAGGGCGCTGTTGTGGAGGAGGTAGTGGTGGTGGAGCGCATCATGGAGGAGCGCAGGGGCTGAAGAGCCCGGAGAAAATTGGCGGGACGCATTGTGGTGGTGTATTTGAAGGACCGAATGCTCCTTTGGTTGTAGAGATGGTGCTGGGGAGGAAGCACGGCCAGGTCAATCCGCTTGGACGGGAGTTTTTGTAGACGTTGCGGCGGTGCCGGGCACGGGGTACGATAGGAATTATCGGCCTTTGTAATCCTCCGAGAAAAGTTGAGAGTCTATCCGCTCAGCGAGATAGCAATTAATTGGCGATTGACCCTGTTGAGCACGATGGGGCTTGCTGCGAGGCTTGCTGTCCAGGCCGGAGGAGCATCGCGGCCGCGGACGAGTTCGCCGAGAATTTCTGAAATCTCGGGCATGTTTGCATGTTTTGCATCCCATTCTTCTCCACGCATCCTCCGCAGGGTGTCTGCACAAATGCAAACCTCTTAAGCAATATGAAATAAATGATGGACATTAATGAATGCAATATTTGGTGTGTAACTATGTGTTTATATGTAACATGAAATGGACCGCCCACTATTTTATGCCACTGAAATCCTAATAACACCGACGCCCAACGCATATTGTAGAGTAGAGAGGGACCAATGGCCGAGGGATCGCGATATGCTCCCATATACACAGTAAAAAAACCAAACCTCCGATGTCTGTTGCCCAACCATACCCTGGAATTAAGGCCAGAACACAGTGTTCACTCTTGTAATATTCCATACGCGAAACCGAGATGTAAACTGTAGGAAGAAGCCCTTCGCCACGCCTTGTGCTCATATACCAGTAAAATAGACGTCTTAAATCAATCATTCACGCATCGCCATATTCAATGGATCCTCGGCCGTAATCAATCATACAAAGCGGGGGCACCAAGCTCACTGTGCCACTTGCTCCTGGTCCGGGGTATCTACACCGTTAGAACGTTCTCCGTTCTCAGAGTTGTTGTCGCTGAGAGAAGCCTTCTTAGCATGGAACTTCTCCGCTGAATGCTCCGAGATGCGAGTCAGTTCGGTCACGAAGGACTGGCCCCAGAATGCACTAGAAACGTAGTTAGTGTCAAAGCTCCTCGTCATCTCAGATATGATCGAACCTTGTATATTTATTGACATATTTGTCGAGCTTGGAGAAGTTGAGGGCCCTCTGCTCGTCGCTCATGGTTACCGCTTCCTGATAAGCACCCGCCAGCTCTTCAGTGTTCCAGGGGTTGATAATGATACTGCCGTTAAGGCTCTGAGCGGCACCCGCGAACTCGGAAAGCACCAAGACACCATGACGCTTCTTCTGTGTTGCGATGTACTCATAGGCAACGAGGTTCATTCCGTCGCGGGTCGACGAAACAATGCAGGCGTCGGAAACCGCGTACAGAGCAATTAGCTCGTCAAAGTTGACTGACTTGTGCAGGAAGTGGATAGGCATGAATTCAACGGTGCCTGATCATCGGTCAGCGAATGGGTGTTGCCCATAGACAGCGCGAAACCTACCAAATTTGCCATTTATACGGCCCACCAGCTCATTTACAACAGCCCTCAAGTTCTGGTATTCTTCCACATCTTGTCGACTAGGAACAGCAACCTGAACCAGGACAACCTTGCCAACCCACTCTGGATGATCGCTGAGGAATACCTCAAGGGCATGCAATTTTTGGGGAACACCCTTGATGTAGTCCAAGCGGTCCACGCCCACCATAAGTTTTACGCCCTGAAATTTTTGTTCCAGCATCGCAATGCGTTTCTGGACCTTCTCCTTCTTCAACCCCTCTTCAAACTTCTCCGGGTCAATGCCGATAGGGAAGGCACCGCAAGCAATGATCTTGCCCTGGAACTCAATCCCATTAGGTGTAGTTGTTAAGCCCCTAGGTATCCATGACGTTAGCACCTCCATTGTCTTTCGAAGAGGAAATAGTCAATCCAATACATACAAGAGTCGTGAACAAGCACTCAAGAAGTGCCTAGTGTAGTCGTAGGTATGGAACCCGATCAGGTCGCAATGCAGAACACCGAGCAACAACTCGTTCCGCACTGGGAGGATTCTGTAGATTTCGCTGCTAGGGAAGGGCGTGTGGAGGAAGAAGCCAATCTTGACATTTTCCTTGCTATGGCCGATCTCCTCGCGCAGCATCTCGGGAAGGAGCATCAAGTGATAATCATGCACCCAGATCAAGTCTCCATCTTGAACTTCCTTCGCAACCGCTTTGGCGAAGAGGCGGTTGGCCTCCTTGTACGCCTCCCAGGCGGACTCATCAAAGGTAATCTCGCCGGGATGGTAATGGAAGAGGGGCCAGAGAATAGAGTCTGTGAGCAGTGGGCATCTGTCAGCAAGCAAGCGTCTTCAGCCGGGATCAATGAGGGAGCAACCATCACAGATCCTCAGTACGATAAGGAGATTGATAATACTAACTAGAGAAGCCATTGTAGTGACGATCTGCCAGCTCGTCATCAATGAACACTGGCACAGCGTTATACTCCTGCTTCAGGCGTTGCTTCACAACGGGAATCTCCTCCTCCGGGACCTCCAAACCGGGCCAGCCGTACCATTGGAAGGTCGTGGACTTGGACAGGCCACTCAATCCGCTGACCAGGCCACCGGAGGACATGGAGAAGTCATAGCGACCATCATCCGATCGCTTGATGGTGATTGGAAGCCGATTGGAGACGAGGAGCAAGCGAGCCTCACCCTGAAAGGTGGGGTTCTCAAGGGAGGGCATGCTGTCGGAATTGGCGGGGCACCGACGCAGATAGTCAGATGTAAGTATGTACAAATGTACTAGTTAGACCGAGTAAGCGACCATTGAGGGTCTGAATTAAAGACAAAGGACGAGACTGGCTTATCAAAGAAGACGCCAGGGACGAGGAATAAGAGTAGACGGAGGCGGGGCTCTGGGGTCGTAAGCTGCAGAGACGGTAGTTCTCGGATTATAATTATTGAGACTTGTTGGTCTTCAGTGAAGAACCAGGAAGAAGGAAACGGCCGGGTGGTTTGTCAGTCTTGGACCACTGTTCACCAATTGAATGAAGCCGAGTGAACCCAGGTACGGGAGCAAGAAAGCTAAGGGATGACAAAAGAGGGATCGAAGTGAAGGTTAAGTTTAGGCGTTAAGAAAAAGAAGAGGAAGAAAAGGAAGGTCACGGATGGCGACCTGGAATGCCTTGAAGCCAAGAAGCTGGTGCTTGGGTGCTTGGGTGCTTGGTGCTTCCTGATGCTGGGAAGCAGCTTAAAGGCGGCGGGGAAGAATCGAGGGGAGTGACCTCACTTCAGAGACCGGCGCGCGGACCAAGTGACCCAGGTTTGGGCCGAAGAAGAACCAAGAGCAGTAGTGCCGGGAGTCCACCTAGAGCTCCTCACTAGCAAGTTCATCGACAGGGAAAAAGCAGTGAGAAGGAAGAGGGATGTGGGCCAGCGAGCAAGCAGAGTCAGTTGGTTATTCCTGAATGTTGCAAGTTGTAGGTTGGAAAAGATTATCGATCACAGCACACACTCTGACAGGTTGCTTGTGACTCCCTTCTTTTTTTTTTTTGTGTTCTCCTTGGATTTTTTTTTTTATTCCGTTGAGTCGCTTCACAGCCTATCGCTTTCACGGGAAAGAGATGACGAGAGGCGGGGGAAGAAGGGAAAAAAAAAAAAAAAAAAAAAGAGGTGTGGTGGAAAGATGAGTTTGGGAAAGAATAATTGAGGGGGGGAGAGTAGTAGTTCCGACCAAAGTGGGCGATGAAGTCAGAGATGACCAGCGGTCGCGATGGATGCCAGAATCTTGCCAGCCACTCACACTCGCCCTTGGCTTTGGATGATGCCAACACTTCCAGTTTCCCCTCAACAAGGGAAATCTACGTTACTAGTTACTGAGGTACTACTTCCTCATTTCAGGTCCACGGCTACTTGGGATTCATGTAACTTGATTCGTCTACCCAATTCAAATGGCCTGATGACTGTTCAACACTGTAATGTCACCCCAGCAGTAATAAAGGCTACTATCTTTAACCCTGATCCAGTAGTATAGAAACCAACCTGACTACTTCACTCTCACTTGGTCCATCTACAAAGTAACATGCTGGGTGGCATGGGGAGGAAAGCAAGTCATCTGCATTATTCTTGATGAATGTTGATCCCCGCAAAGGTACGAACAAACACGAGCGTTGCAGGATTTCACTCACTCACTCACACTATCTCCCTTCTTGTTAACCTTTTTTCCTTCTTGCTGCCCGAGAGGCGCTTTCAAATCGGGTGGTTGAAATCAATACCCCGCTGTTATGGACGGGTCTGGACTCTCTATACTACTTTGATCCCAACATTAATGGATTCATTGACTCTGTATATCTTGATGCTCTGCAACTCACTACGTCTTATGATAACGGCCACATTCCTTAGTGTAGACAAAAGGACTGACTTAAAAATTGTCTGGTGCCTCTTGAAGAAGGTGAGGTAACTGCTATGCACTTCAGTTGATCATTTTTACCTAATGACATTCCATGGCACACTCGGCGCATAGACTTACAAGCAAAAATCGTATGTTTTAACTAGTTCAAGAGGAGGGGGGCTCTTTGTCGGATAAGATCAGTGCGCAGGATGCAAGTCAGTAAGTAGTCTTGGTAGCTCAAGTTCTGATGTGGGGACATAACCAGAAAACATTTCCCACCCATTATCTCTCTCTACCTGGTACTCGGATCTCGCTGCTCCCAAGGTTAAATAGACGATAAGAGTCTCGATGGTCATAATGAAGTCGGTCTCAACCAATCACTACTAGTAACAGAGGCTCCATTCTGTTAAAGTCCATGGGAACTATATAGCATCATAACTAGCCTATCTATGTTTCTTTTTGCTTCTGTCTTGGATAATCTGAGACAGCTGTTTTCGATCCTCTTACTACATTCGGTGTCATTCTTGTGGTGTGGTAAGACTGATGCGACGGAATCAGACCGCCAGTTGACAAGGTTATTAACGCCGAAGGAAGGGGGAGCGAATTTTGCTAAAAGCTTCGATAGTATAATGATGTGACGATCTATGTTGTTCTCATTGATGGGCATGGTATATCTATACGGTGTAGCATTAGAAGCATGTAAGGGATGATGGTTGTGAATGACAGGAATAACATCATATGTCTCTGATTAGGTGAATATGCACGCACTGCATGGAGGTCACAGGCATCTCCTTGCATCGGTGAGCGGCTAGCATTGGATCCCTAATAACATATGCCATATAATCCCGAAACAAAGATCTACTGATATATCTACTATGATGATAACTTAACAACCCAGTCCTTCTCGCAATCCTTCAAAGTGCAGATCGTCCAGTTTCCAGAACCCACCGCCCATCGACATCTCGGCTTACCCGGCCTTCGTCCTCTAATTTCTTCAGAACAAGCAACACTCCGTTAGAAGCAGGCAGATGAAGGCTTTCCGGCACATCTTTGTAAATAACCTTGACTAGTTCCAGTGGGGTCCAGGACCGTTTACGCTCCGGGGATGCTTCCCCATCTGCGACATCGAGGTGATTATATCGAAGAACGCGAACCACTTCATCCTCTCGCTGTTGGCGGTGCTTGATGTACTCTGTGATCTTTGCTGTCGCATTCTCGATAACAGCTCCGTGGCCAGGATAGCCGCGACCCGAAACCCGGTGCTGCATTCGCTTTAGGCTAGATATATAGGACGAGAGGTCCTCAAAGACACTCGTGCCATGGCCCAAGACATCTGACAAGCGCAGTTAGCCATGAGGCAGGAAGTAGAGATTGCCATAATACTCACGATCGCCCGTAAAGACAGAATCCTCTTCTTCAAGAACAAACATCATATGGTCAACCGTATGACCCGGGGTATGGTATGCTCGTAGTGTTGCACCTTCAACACTGAAGATCTGACCGTCTTCAATGCTCTCTTGCCCGAGGTCTGGATCATTCTTGTAGATGATAGCGTCCGGACATAATGCTAAGAGGTCAGGAACGCCTTTAACATGGTCTGGATGCCAATGTGTGAGGAGTGCTTGATGCACAATTGCATTCTCTTCTGCCAAAAGAGTCTTGAGCCGGGCTGCCCAGGAGGGTTCACCCTGACCGGTGTCAATGAGAATGCGTTGACGACCTCGCCCGATTAGATACGTATTCGTGCCTGTTGGGGATTCGGTTAGGATGACACGCCTGTACCGCTAAAAGTGTGTGTGAGAGAACAAACCTTGCAGAGTGAACTGTAAGAAAGATATATTAGTTTCTATGTCCATCAAGACCGGTGTGTTATCTCAACATTGACTCACCTTGCCGGGATTGCCCCCCAATATCCGTACGACCGAGGCGCTGAGCCTCTCCACCTCCGCCAGAGAGACTAGCTGGGTAGCCATGTCTCCAGCATATACCACACTTCAGTGCGATTAATCTGCGACTGCCAGACACCAACTCGCATTAGCCATCTGCACTGCGTTGGATTCTTTGGTTGGGTCCGAGAGCACGCATTGACTCTAGACCTTGCGCAGAACATAAGCAACATACTTACAAGTGTCTTTCCCTACCACAGGGGCAACCGAGCAGTCACTTTAAGTATGTACTATTGTCGGTCTATATCGCAGCCTTCTATATAGGACTCAATACTCAGCAGGACGATCAGAGTAAGAATAGGAATGAATCATCAGAGACTCACGAGCAATCAGGCTAGTGGGTCAGCTGTACTCAGTCACGTGGGGAATCCAGAAAGACAGAGGCCGGCAATGATATTCTTTCAATCTTGGATGCAGCTGAGGGATTGTGAGCAAAGAGGATCAGATACTATGAGTCTACTACACCGGAACACTCCTTATCATGATGGATCGGCTATACTATCAGAGTCACGTTCCGAGGCGGGGTGAGCAGCCGTGTAGGCCTCGGTTGAGAAGGGAGCTTAGTTATGTCAGCACCAATGAAGTCAGGCCCATTTCCAGCAAGTCACAAAATCGGGCAAATTGTAACATATGTATGTCCGAATACGCCATTAGGGGTGTAGTGACCGTTTTGCTCACCGGGAGTGCTACAGCAAACTGATTACAACGTCTACGGGCAAGATCCATCTTGGAACAGAAGGAAATGTGGTATGCACGCAAGCCCTAACATACAGTGTATGATATAAAACAAAAACAAAGATATATCCATGTAGTCCACCGGAAAATCACAGGGGTACAAAAGAAAACAGGCCCAGAGCGGCAACAGAAACAAATCGTTAAATTTTTCGAAAGACGACGCCGGATATTCCCATCATAGAGGTACCATAGGCAGCCGCTTTCGCGTCCAATGCAGTTGTTTGGCATCAGAGCAGACTGCCATGGCGCGAGGGTAGGATAACCAAACCCCGCAAGCAGATCTTTCAGGTATCATATCTTTTCGCAACAAACAGAAAACAGCGATCATAATATACAGACGGGCCTATGAGGCCCATGTCATGCATGTTGGCAATCGCCATTAAATTTAGTTACCAGCCTTGCGGGCCATGGTGTTGAGGGCGGAACCATCGCGGAACCACTCAATCTGGGACTCGTTGAAGGTGTGGCTGAGCTTGACGTCGAAGGAGGCACCGTCCTTGGGGTGGACACGCAGGGTGACGGGCTTGCCAACCTCGAGCTCAGTGCAGAGGAGGTCGACCTTGTCCTCGGGCTTGATCTTGTCGTAGTCGGCGGGGTCGGAGAAGGTAAGAGGAAGCATACCCTGCTTCTTCAGGTTGGTCTCGTGCTAAAGGAAGATGTTAGTTCGCGTTCAGATTTTTTTGATTGTAAAGAATGGATAACACTTACGATACGAGCGAAGGAGCGGGTGATGATGGCAAGACCACCAAGGTGGCGGGGCTCCAGAGCGGCGTGCTCACGGGAAGAACCCTCACCGTAGTTCCAGTCACCGATGACAACCCACTTGATGCCACGGGCCTTGTAGTCACGGGCAGTGGCGGGGACAGCATCGTACTCGCCGGTGAAGGCGTTCTTGACCTTGTTGGCCTCACCGTTCTCGGCGTTGATGGCACCGATCAGCATGTTGTTGGAGATGTTGTCAAGGTGACCACGGTACTTCAACCACGGGCCAGCCATGGAGATGTGATCGGTGGTAGTCTTGCCCTGGCACTTGATCAGGATAGGGATGTCAGTGGCATCCTTGCCATCCCACTTCTCGAAACCAGCAAGGATCTGGAGACGGTCACTGGAAGGAGAGACAGCGACGTTGACGCCGTCGCGGTTGGTGGGAGGAGCCTGGTAGGTGTCACGGCCGGGGTCGTAGCCCTGAGCAGGGAGACCCTCACCGGTGGGAGGCTTGAGCATGAACTCCTTGCCGTCCTTGTCCTTCAGCTTGTCGGTGAGAGGGTTGAACTTAAGAGTACCGGCAACGGTCATGGCGACGACAAGGTCGGGAGAGGCGACGAAAGCGTGGGTGGCGGGGTTGGCATCGTTACGACCGGTGAAGTTACGGTTGTAGGAGGAGATGATAGAGTTGGGCTCACCCTTCTTGACGTCCTTACGATCCCACTGTCCAATGCAAGGACCGCAGGCGTTGGCAAGGATGACACCACCGTACTCCTCGAGGGTCTTGAGCTGACCATCGCGCTCAATGGTAGCGCGGATCTGCTCGGAACCGGGGGTGACGGTGAAGAGGGACTTGGACTTGAGACCGTGGTCAAGGGCGTCCTGAGCAATGGAGGCGGCACGGGACATGTCCTCGTAGGAGGAGTTGGTGCAAGAGCCGATAAGACCGACCTTCAGCTCCTCGGGCCACTTGTTGGCATCAACAGCCTCCTTGAACTTGGAGATGGGGGTGGCCAAGTCAGGAGTGAAGGGACCGTTAACGTGGGGCTCGAGCTCAGACAGGTTGATCTCAATCAGCTGGTCGTACTCAGCACCCTCATCCTCGCGGAGCTCCTTGGCGTACTCGCGGGAGAAGTTACCAATGTGCTGACGCTTGGTGGCCTTCAGGTAGTCGTACATGCGGTCGTTGAAGGGGAACATGGAGGTGGTGGCACCAATCTCAGCACCCATGTTACAGATGGTGGCCATACCAGTGCAGGACAGGGAGTTGACACCAGGTCCGTGGTACTCGATGATAGCGCCAGTACCACCCTTGACGGTGAGGAGACCAGCAACCTTGAGGATGATATCTAAAATTTGCTGTTAACGCTCGTCCGACTGTGTAGAACAGGTCAAATATCAACTTACCCTTAGGAGTAGTCCAGCCAGACATCTGGCCGGTAAGCTTAACACCGATGACCTTGGGGGCCTTCAGCTCCCAAGGGAGACCGGCCATGACATCGACGGCATCAGCACCACCAACACCGATGGCAGCAGTGGCGAGACCACCAGCGTTGGGGGTGTGAGAGTCGGTACCGATCATCAGACCACCGGGGAAAGCGTAGTTCTCCAGAACGATCTGGTGGATGATACCGGAACCGGGCTTCCAGAAACCGATGTTGTACTTAGCAGTAGCAGAGGCAAGGAAGTCGTAGACTTCCTTGTTGATGTCGTTGGCACGAGCAAGATCCTTGTCGCCACCGACCTGGGCCTCAATCAAGTGGTCACAGTGGACGGTAGTGGGAGTAGCGACGGAGGGCATGCCAGCGGACATGAACTGGAGGATAGCCATCTGGGCAGTGGCATCCTGGCAAGCGACACGGTCGGGGCGCAGCTTGAGGTAAGAGCTGCCACGCTCGATCTCCTGTCCGTGGGGGTCGTCAAGGTGAGAGTACAGAACCTTCTCGGCGTAGGTGAGAGGACGGCTCAGACGACGACGAACGATGTCGAGGTTCTCGGACATCTTCCTATAGAAGTGGTAGGAATGTTAGCTTACAGCTCATTGACCTGAGAAGGCGCAATTGAGAGATCGCCCCCAATTCCCAGAGAATCAAGAGTGCTATCATACTTGTAGTTGATGTAGTTACCCTGCACAAGCATTGTTAGCGGATCATATTCCCAAATCTGGCGCCCGCGCTACCCGAAGCCAGCCGAGACGTAATGGAAAGTTTCACACACCTTCTCCAGGTTGCACATCTCGACCTTCTTGTCGAGGGGAGAGTCGGTGACGGTGGCCATACCCCGAGCCCCGAGCATCTGCACATTTTATTAGTGTTTCTGTTCATCGAGCAATCGCACTTCCGCTGTAATTTGGTGATGCGAGCTTGAACTGGATTGCGGGTAAACGCTTACAAGGCGGGACTTAGGGGCCTAGAGAGCAGATCTGGTTAGTTTCCATTGAGCTACAAAGACGTCCAGCTAGATGCATTTCATTCCTGGACAGAATGCTATGACTTCTTCGCCAGACGGGGGACAACGTGTCTGGAATGAACTCACCAGCGCACCCATGCGCGCAAGCCTTGTGGTAATCATGGTGGAAGCTCTCTATGCGAGGTGGGCAAGGCCGCAACACAGGAGAGCCAATCCAAACAACAGCAAAAGCTAGCTTCAACGGGAGGAAGCAGCAAAAGATGGAGTGGAGTGGGAAAAGAAGAGGAAAGGAAAGGGATAAAGGAAGAAAGGGAAAATGGAGTAGATAAAAAGGAAGCTTGAGTGGGAAAGAATTCTTGTTTCCACCACCGAGAGCGATTTACTGAACCGGAGAAGAGGACCCGTAACCGCTCCTGACAGTACCGACCTTTACGCAAGCGTTGCATGCGACCGGAGAGAAGGAAGGTGGCTGGACCATCCGTGGGACCCCTTTCTTACCGTATGGATACGGATACACCTGTAATTTCCGTTTGGCCTGCAGACCTCGCTCCCTCCTTTCTGACCACTCCGTAAATGAAAAAAACTAAGAAGGACCCATAATGGCTTTACCCGATCAACGTAAGGTTGCCTTTGGATTCGAAAAGGCCTCACTGTCAGTGGTTTTGCTCCTTTCAGCTGACCCTCAAAAAGCATAGTTTGATCTACTGGGTATTATTATCTCCCCCATGCATTCTCCCCCATGGACTGCCACGAACTAGTGTCTTACCTAGGTAAAACCTAACTTCACTACTGCTGTGTTCATACAATGTAATTCCGACCAGCCTGTGCGGCGGCGTGCACAGGGCATGTGAGGCACATAGTCCAATCATGTGCCCTGTATTACATCCATTCATCCTGGGGGAACATCATCGACGTCACTCACTACTACTACATCCTAGCTCGAAGCTTCATCAAGTCTTGCAAACACAGGTCAAAAAAAATTATTTGGAACCGATACATTAATGAAATTGAAATAATATGACAGATTCTACGCGCCCAACCTCGTCAGTAATGCCAGACCGCTTGAATGAGTTGGGTTGCTTAGGAGACATGGTGGCAGTTAGCGTATTATTTCACCTGGATCGCAACTGGACGAAATGCTTTCCGGAGCAACGTGCCGGAACATGGCAACGTCATAAATTACGAGACACCGGGGAAATGGCCGTACGGAAGCGACCAAAAGCGCTGACAGAGCCGAGTCAGAGCCGAGGCCTACCGATGGGAATCCCGCGGCCCGCCGCCAAGACCCAGCTGATTTTGACCAATGATGAGCAACATGTTTCAGGAAATTCTTCTTTCGCACACAAAGGCGGAATTTTGGTGATAAGCGACCCGCTCTTGCACCGCCTAAAGTCTTAGTTTCATTCCGTATATCGGTGGAAAAACATTTTGCGACAGCTCACTAGCAAATCCATCAGGCAGTTCTTTTTGGGGCCGCAGTCTATCAAAATGGGAGCTGTTAGGAAAATTAAGACGAAGCGCAGGACCAGGTATGTAGGCTAATTTCTGAATGATCACTATCATGAGGGTCCAAGTTGGAAGGGCTGCGTAAAGTGAATAGACTGCTAATTGTCTGATAAAATCGATAGAGATTATGATCAGGTCCGGGCTGATATCGCGTCCGCGAGACACCTTGAACTATACAAAGCTACGAAAGACGAAGAGGACCTCCCCGGTCTAGGAAAGCATTATTGCGTCGAGTGCTCCAAATGGTTTGAGAGCGAGCATAATATGGCCGCCCATACGAAGGGCAAGAACCACAAGAGAAGGTATGTGGCCAATATATCTACGATATCGCGGCCTCGGGCGCAAATACTTTATGGACAATAAACGCTGACCTATGCGCCTGTTATCAGACTTCGCATCTTGCGCGAAGAGGCACACACACAGAAGGCTGCTGAGGCTGCTGTCGGCTTGGGTACAGACAATGGTGTGAGGTCGCAAGAGACCACCGAGATGGTCATTATGGAGGATTAGATTCTCGCCATGAAGTGAAATTGCCTATCGCAGTGCTCTCTCGACTGTCACTGCGATGCAGGATAGCCCCAAGAGCATCGACAAGAGCTCTGCTGGCAACACATCTACTCTAAATGGGCTTGAAAAAAATTTTCGCGCATCTACGCCGTTTTGACGTCGTTGTTTCACGGACGATATTACTGGCTGCATGTCGACGAAAGAATCACCCAATCAGCGATGGGCCAAAATCGCTGGATAACACGTGAAACCACATGCGCCGAAAACCGCCAGTGGGGGTGGAAAGTTCCCGGATACGCCGGTTTCGTTCTGCGGTAAAACCATTATAACTGCCGTTTCTCGGAGCCCCCATCTAGCTTGGCCCCACATTATCAGACACGGCTCCTTTAGGACGAATTTAATTACGAGCTGCAATATTACACAGCACTTCAATATTGAGATGCGCGTATCCTTGCGGAGAACTCCGTACGTAGTTTGTAGATGCTTGGGCATTGTTGACATTGTACGTTTATGGATTTTGTAAATACTTCATCAGCCACTCGTATGTTGCCCACTTGGAATGGATCGTTAGCAATGCGTTACACTATTTTAAACCCGGGTTGACATACCTGAACAGCATTGACTATGAAGGCTCTCACACTACAAACTCCTAGGCCGCGATAGAAGGCTCTGAGTCCTTCATTGAGATACGCTTCTTTGGCAATCTGGATGGAGCTTGCGGTGTATGGCTTAGCTGAAGGTTGCATCAAGGGGCGATGTTCAGGGGACAATTCAATCGTTCTCGCCTGCAGTCTTGTCTTGATCACATCTAGAGGGAAGACAGAGGCCCAGGTAACAATCCCAGCAATGCCACCGCATAATAAGACTTTCGTAGCAGTCATGGTCGCATCTTCGTCATTAGAGGCCGTAAGCCGCTTGCAGTATTCATAAGACCAAAAGCTGAAGAAAGGATGTAGGTCAATACTCTTTGAAGAGCCTCATTGAAATCGCGGGGGAAGATCCGGGGAAAGGATTCACATACTAAAATCCATAGCCAATTGCGTCTCTCGCACAAGTGACTCCTCCTCCGAAATAAAGGCCCGTCCAGCCGCGTGTTCGGACAATGTCTTTCGCAACCGTCCATGACGACACCCCGGGGCGTGAGTCAAGCTGGGCCCTACATTTGATGAACTCCGTCGGAGATGACACTGTCCAGCTGGCCACCCCACCTGCAGCGCCGGCAAGCCAGATCTTGCTTAAGGGGACACCTTGTGGGTTTGTAGGGTCAATGATTGAACTATCCAGGAACTTCAATGATCGGTTATAAGCCACAAAGAGTAGTGCATTGAGGGCCCCATATCCGAGGATTGGGGCAGCGGCGCCTGATGAAACGGTTAATACTAGACGCGTAATTTACATCATCGGAATATTTGCAAACCTCGAACCAGGGAAGTAGCGCTATCAAAGCGACTCAATTGCTGTGGTGTGGTTGATGCGGCGATATCTGAAGTGCGTCCTGCCTGCAACCGCACTTTGATGACATCGAGGGGATTGCCGATGATGATTCCAATGGCACCGCTGAGGTAGCCAGCCCAGAAATCGGAAGACATGGGCCGAGGGGCCAGTGCTGAATGAACGATTCAGCAGCAAATGGTGATAATGAGCATTGTGACTATGGTAGGAACAACCTGGTTATTATCATTCGACGGGCTGAGGTTCCCTTGACTAAACGGTCCCACCTCAAGAAGGCGAACCGGACGCTATACTGAAAGGGCTATAGTAGAAACTTTCCATTCGGCCTCCTACTCTTGCTTGCAAGTCCAATAGCATTGTGCTTTTTTTGGTGCTGAGCAAACTGCATTTTCAAGTGCTTTAGACGGAAAACAGTACTGTCATGAGATGAGTGCTACTAGTGCGGAAAAAGAAATGTGTCTGTCATGCAGCAGGGCTGCAGAGGTTCATGCCAAGACTATATATATCTTGCAGATCATGCAGCATCATCTGTTTTAGAAGTTTTATGGACAAAACTCCAGAAGTGGCTGAACATCCCTGGTAGTAGCACTAGTAGTATGTCTTCTATATACTTAAGTGTTTTCAGTCAAGCTCCTTTTCTATAGAGAATGCTTGAAGGTTTCATTCTCTTGGATGCGTCATTCAAGTGGCGCTTCCCTAACCGGACGTTGTGTTCAAGGCCATGGCACGTACACATGCTGTTGAATAAGCCGAAGTCTATATAGTGTAATCTAAGAGGTACTCTAGTACTAAATAATATATGTCATCAAAGGACTTGGCTCAAAGTGGATTTGCCTAGCGAGATACCTCTCTGAGCCGGCTACTCCATACTATTGCCATAAACAATCACGTGACAGCGTGATACTTTGGTGTTGCCAACAAGATGCGGGCGACGCGCTAGGCAGTGGCAAACACGCGTCGAGTTCGGCCGGTCATTATTGCCAACCACAACCGCCAACTGACACGATCCAAGTCAGCCACGAGTATTTGATAGAGAAGTACTAATGTGAGTTTGATAATGACTTCCTCCAGTTTATCGCGGAGCACAAGCTTACGCATTCAGGTACCGGCCACGGCCAGTCCAAAACCAAGATGGTGCAAGCACACCGTCCAAGCCGCTGCAGGCCAGCACCACGAACAGCGTCGACCGTCTATCGAAACCCTTTAAATGTCCAGGCCTAGCCACGGCTACACGAGCGTCAGACAAGCCAGCGAGGAAGCGTAGGAAGGTGAACTATGCAGGGGCTGATGGCACGGTGGACGACGACAGCGTCAAGCCTTATACAAACGAGGACCGCTTAGCACTGGCAACAAGAGATGCGAATAGGTTCCCTAGCTTCAAGGTCAAGGACAAAGAGATGACTTTCAAGCAAAGATTTAAGATTCCTCTGATCAATAAGTCGCCTGATGCCTATAATAGCTCTAGGCCAGCGCCTACGCTTGGTATGAGGCAAGGCGCTACATTTGTTGTGAAGCCATTGCATGATCCGAGCGGGGAGTTTGCTATAGTGCTATATGATCCAACAGTCGATGATGTCAATGAGCCAGAATCGAAAGAAGAGGCCACGGTCGATGCCGAGGAGCAGAAGCCAAAATTGGATGAGCCATTGGTACACAAGAGCTTGGCAGATATTCTTGGGCTCAAGAAGAAGACTGAAGGGCGACCGAAGGTTCCGGTTGTTATAGATCCACGGCTGGCGAAAGTGCTACGGCCTCACCAGGTTGAGGGTGTCAAGGTTAGCATTCGCTGCACACAGGCTCTGTTGCTATGTACTAATGCGCCGACAAAAGTTTCTTTATCGTTGTACAACTGGCATGATTGACAAGAATGCGAATGGTTGCATCATGGCAGATGGGATGGGTCTGGGCAAGACGGTGAGCTGAACGGCCTGTGACACGGAACAGAAGACTAATGGTGCTGATAGCTTCAATGTATCTCATTGATGTGGACTCTACTCAAGCAGTCCCCGGAAGCGGGAGTAACAACCATACAGAAGTGCATCATCGCTTGCCCGTCAAGTTTGGTCGGAAATTGGGCCAATGAACTTGGTGAGTTGGCTTCGCTACTGGATCACACTTCTGCTAACAGTTGCAGTGAAATGGTTGGGCAAGGATGCCATCACACCATTTGCGGTCGACGGTAAAGCCTCGAAGACGGAGCTCATCAGTCAGATGAAACAATGGGCCATTGCTTCGGGTCGGTCTATTGTCAGACCAGTACTCATTATTTCATATGAAACACTCCGGCTATACGTCGATACACTGAGGGACAGTCCCATCGGCCTACTTCTTTGTGACGAAGGACATCGATTGAAGAACAAGGAGAGTTTGACATGGACAGCGCTCAACGGCCTGAATGTACAGCGTCGGGTGATTTTGTCAGGCACTCCCATTCAGAACGATCTCTCGGAATACTTTGCTCTTCTCCATTTTGCGAATCCTAATCTACTGGGGTCGCAGAATGAATTCCGGAAAAGGTTCGAATTGCCTATTCTTAGAGGAAGAGATGCTGCAGGAACCGAAGAAGACCTCAAGAAGGGTGATGAGCGTCTTGCCGAACTCTCCAGCATCGTAAACAAGTTTATCATACGACGCACGAACGACATTTTGTCAAAGTACTTGCCCGTCAAGTACGAACATGTTGTTTTCTGCAACATGTCCGAATTCCAACTGGGCCTCTATAAGCATTTCATTCAGAGTCCTGAAATCAAAAGCTTACTCCGCGGAAAGGGAAGTCAGCCCTTAAAGGCAATCGGCCTTCTAAAGAAACTTTGCAATCACCCGGACCTCCTTAATCTCTCTAATGACCTTCCGGGTTGCGAGTACACCTTCCCAGAGGACTATGTCCGGCCGGAAGCACGAGGGCGTGATAGAGATATCAAGTCTTGGTATTCAGGAAAGATGATGGTCTTGGATCGTATGCTAGCGCGCATTCGCCAGGATACTAATGACAAGATTGTTTTGATTAGCAACTACACCCAGACCCTCGACCTGTTTGAGAAGCTGTGCAGAACCCGGGGGTACGGCTCCTTGCGACTAGACGGAACCATGACGGTTGGGAAACGACAGAAGCTGGTCGATAAATTCAATAACCCCGATGGGGAAGAGTTTGTCTTCCTGTTGAGCAGTAAGGCTGGTGGCTGCGGCCTGAACTTAATAGGTGCAAACCGCCTTGTTCTTTTTGATCCCGATTGGAATCCAGCTGCCGACCAGCAAGCTTTGGCACGAGTGTGGCGTGATGGCCAGAAGAAGGACTGTTTTGTCTACCGTTTCATCGCGACTGGATCAATTGAGGAGAAGATCTTCCAGCGTCAGTCTCATAAACAGTCACTTTCTTCGTGCGTCGTGGATTCGGCCGAGGACGTCGAACGACACTTCTCGCTGGAATCCCTCCGAGAGCTCTTTCAATTCAAACCGGAAACGCGGAGCGATACACATGACACGTTCAAATGCAAGCGATGCCGACCGGAGGGAACACAATACATCAAGGCGCCAGCCATGTTGTACGGTGATACTAGTACTTGGAATCATTTTGTCAATGACGGCGAGCATGGGGCTCTCAGCAAGATCCAAGACTTGCTGATACGTCAAGAGACCGGAGAGCGTGATGTCTCTGCCGTTTTTCAGTATATCAGCCATTGATGGTAGCTTACCTGTTGAATATTGTCATGACCTGTATTTCATTGGAGCGTCCTTGACTTTGTGTGCAATCTGCTTTGCTTTGGGAAGCGTTATTCTTTCACGACACATTTGGTTAAACGAGAATAGGTGTATGTTATTTGCTGAGCGTTTGTATAAACATGAACTAGAAGACATGATACAGTGGCGTTCTAGACCTCACAATGTAGATGACTATGGCTTTTTTTTTGTATTCCAAAAATATCACTTACTGTAAGTCTATAGTAGTGCATTGCATGAAGGGAGAATTGTTCCTTTGTAGAATGACAGAACGATCTGCGGTGCAAGGGTGCATGGCAATTAGTTACACTATAGGGATGAACAATGCAAAACGGTCGGGCGGGAAAGCCGACAAAGCGTCGATTCGCTGCTGACACTACGTCACTTCGCGTCCGCTAAGACAGCCATCCACGTTTGCCAACGCATCTTGTTGTGAGTCCTCCCCACCTTGACAGCCCAGCAACCGCCTAGCGACGAGACTAGAGCATCTGACGGGTGCTTTCTGATCAAAAAGAGCCTGCATCTGTTTTGTTTACCCTGAAACACTTACCATTAATAGCCGATGGCTCGGGAATAGCTACAGGTCTTTGCGAACACGAGAGAGTCGAGACCGTCGTCGCCTCACCGCCCAGCCTAGTCAGACATCGCCTTCACGCCATGAAAACCACTTATCTAAATCAACAATCCCGGTGCTTGTGACTCAGTCGTCCATATCCATGTTTGTTTGAGAGATGGATCACTCAATTCAGCGCTCGCTGAATGATAAGCTCTACGACCGGAGGAAACAGGGGGCCCTGGAGTATGCATTATCGATAAGGCGACATATGTCAGACAATAATATGGCGGGTGGCTAATGCACAGGGGTTTATTAACAGACTCGAGAAGGTCGTCCGCGATGCTGCTTTCAGGGGTGAACACGAGGAGATCCAAAAGATTGTCGACCAACTCTGCCATGACTACGCCTATGCGGTACACCAACCTCACGCGAGAAACGGCGGTTTAATCGGACTTGCTGCGGCTTCCATAGCATTAGGTTCCGTGAGTTGCACCAGAATATACTGAATGGATCTTGCAGGGGCTGAGTTCAGGGTTGCTAGGAAGGGGTTGCTCCTTATCTGAAGGAAATCGTACCGCCGGTGCTTGCTTGCTTTTCCGATCAAGATGCCCGAGTCAGGTATTATGCCTGCGAGAGCATGTACAACATTGCCAAAGTTGCGAAAGGCGAGGTGCTACTTTTCTTCAATGAAATATTCGATGCATTGAGCAAGGTAAGGGGTTCTCATCCCGTGTTCCTACTGTTCTGGCCTAACAGCTCACACCCCGCCAGCTAGCTTCCGATTCGGAGCTTTCGGTCAAGAACGGCGCAGAACTCCTCGATAGACTCGTCAAAGACATTGTATCGGAATCCGCGGCCTCCCATATCTCCGTCTTACAGCTTAGCGAAAAGGAAGCAACAGATCCTGAAGGCTTGGACGATGCTGAACTTCCTACCGCTTTTTCGCTACCTAAATTCATACCTTTGCTCAAAGAGCGAATCCACGTCATCAGCGCGTTTACCCGCACATTCCTGGTATCATGGTTGACTCTGCTGGATACAATCCCTGATCTGGAGTTGATATCGTATTTGCCGGAATTCCTAGGAGGTTTGATTAAGTTCCTGGGTGATCCGAACAGAGATGTCAACGTCGCTACCCAAGCGCTTCTGGATAGGTTCCTGTCGGAGATTAAGAGGATCGCGCGACTTAAGAAGGGTATCGAAGAAAGCCGGAAAGGTCAAGGCAGCGATATCAGGCAGTCAACTATCAGCGATAGTATGAGCGTTGCGACGACTACCGATCAAACTGTAGCTGTCGAGTCTGAAGTGACAGATAACGCCATAGAGGACTCTGAGGCAGGATCAGTTACCGATGAGGAAGGCTTGCACGTGGATGGGGACTGGATTCCCGGACAAGATGTCCAGATTGACTATGCCAAGATATTAGACATTCTCGTCGGTTTCGTTGATACATCTTTCGGTAAGCAAGGCATGATGCTCAGTTGCAATGGTTCGATACTCATCACCAGTCACTAGTGGAGGAAATGCAATTGACTGCGCTGCGCTGGATCGACAACTTCTTCGAAATCAGCCCAGAAGACATTCTCCCTTTCGTTCCTCGTCTCCTCACTCAAGTGCTCCCAGCAATGTCCAGTGGTTCGGATCAAGTGCGGCAGGCCGCCAACCGGGTCAACACGTCTTTAATGGAGTATATCGTCACGCTGTCCGAAGATACAGTAGATGAAAGTCGACAAGCGGCATTGAAAAGTACCAGCAAAGAAAATACGGAGCGAAGGTCGTCTACGCCGGTTAGCAAGCCTCCCGAGACGCCATCGAGTGAATCCAAGAAGCAATTGTCTCAGCCAGAGGCTTCAGTCGAACCAACCCCTCGAAGCAGCATGTCAACACCATTACCACCCGCCGACCTCGATTATGCTGCTGCCGTGAACTCCCTTACCCTACAGTTCCTGAACGAAAACGAGGCCACCAGAGTAGCCGCGCTTTCCTGGCTTATCATGTTGCACCGAAAGGCGCCCAAGAAGGTCATTGCATTTAATGATGGCACATTTCCTGCTCTTCTGAAGACACTGTCTGATCCGGCCGAAGCCGTCGTCACCAAAGATCTCCAGCTTCTATCACAGATTTCCAGAAACAGCGAGGACAGTTACTTCAAGTCTTTCATGGTGAATCTCCTGCAGCTGTTCTCCACGGACAGACACCTGCTCGAGGTACGGGGGAATCTGATTATCCGACAACTGTGCATGAATCTTAGTCCAGAGCGCATATATCGGACGCTGGCAGATTGTCTCGAGAAGGAAGAGGTGAGACTCACAACTACTCCGTTTATCGAATGTAGCAACTCACACCGTGAAAGGATATCGAGTTCGCCAGTATCATGGTTCAAAATTTGAACAACAACCTGATAACCGCCCCTGAACTCTCGGAGCTGAGAAAGCGGTTAAGGAATCTTGACGCCAAGGTAAAGACTTCTTCACTTGCCGGGTATTTACGAAAGCTTACAATCTCACAGGATGGACAGATGTTCTTTGTAGCGCTGTTCCGGTCATGGTGCCACAATGCCGTCTCTACATTCTCCCTCTGTCTACTCGCGCAAGCCTACGAGCAAGCATACAACCTCCTCCAAGTCTTGTAAGGCACCCCCTCCCTCCCCCGCTAGCCCAGCACCGCGCCACTAACCTCCCATCACAGTGCCGAGCTCGAAATGACAGTGAACATGTTAATCCAAATAGACAAGCTAGTCCAACTCCTCGAATCACCCGTCTTCACCTGTAAGTTCTTAAATCACACCCTAAATCACCTCACACAAACTAACCCCATCCCGCAGACCTCCGCCTCCAGCTCCTCGAACCAGAACGATACCCCTACCTCTACAAATGCCTCTACGGCGTCCTCATGCTCCTCCCCCAGAGCTCCGCCTTCGCGGCGCTCAAAAACCGCCTCAACAGCGTCAGCAGCATCGGCCTCATCCACACCGGCCCCCGACAGTAAGTCCATCCCCCCATCCCCACCAACCACAAACTAACACCCCATTCCCAAAGAACCACCCTCTCATCCTCATCCACCACCACCTCCACCTCCACCTACGACCGCTCCACCAACAGCCGACTAAAACGCGACGAACCCCCAATCCGATGGGTTGAGCTTCTCGACAAATTCAAAACCGTGCAAGAGAAAGCCCGCCGGTCTCAACGCGCCTCACAGCGTCCCTTCGACGCAGACGGACCCTCATCCTCCAGCAACAATAACAACAATAACAACAATGCAAGCGATCAGGTCCGCGGCGGCGGTAGCACCAGAGATCGGGTCTCGGCTTTACCTGATACTCCGCGGGGATTAGCCGGAGGAGGGAATGCCGGAGGTGCGGGGAATGAAGGTGGCAGTGGTGGTCGGGGGACGAACGAAGGGGGTGCGGGTAAATCCTCTCCGGGAGGCATTCTGGGTGGTGCGCATAGACATAAATCTAGTTTGTCGAATCTGGGAAGGTTGGGGATTGGAGGGAGGAAGTCGAAGAGGTGATTGTGGGTTTAGTTATAGTTATGGATATAGCTAGGGGTTATAGTATAGTATAGGAGTAGGGGGGAGTGGTGTGTTGTGTTATCACGTTATAGCGTATCATGCATACATTGCTAGGAATGGGAATGCAATTAGCTATCTAGTTGCTAGTTGAGGTGTGATGATACTATCATTACGTGAGCTAAGAACGATGATAGTAAGGTAGTATATACATTGGTCATGGTGTTAGTAGTGTCGCTTGCTACTTCTATAGACTGAGTAACTCTTAAGGATTTACGCTAAGGTAGTAGAGCAAAGGGGCCAACGCAAGGCTGTAGATCTGCGTGTTGGTCCGACGATTGTCCTATTATATCCAAGCATCTCAGAATTCAAGCATCTACCTGGGTGGGGGCCACGCTGGTGATCGTCATATCTCTTGATTGGAATGTAGAAGCCTATGTACAGTGAGGCGTAACAGCCTCGAATTGGCGAAAAAGGGTGTGAAGAAAGGATACACCAACAAGTCAAGTCACAGAACGACTCGCTAATGGGCTTGAGGGGTATGTGAAGTGCACAAAATGGCAGCATAAAGCTCTATCCCGCCAACTCTAGAACAGAGCGGAAAGGATCCAGAACAATTGTAGCAAAAAGGAGTGCTTGCAGCCAAAAAGCAAACAGGCATAAATCGCGTCAATAAGATGATGCCAGATAACTCCGAGATAGATTCGGGGAAAGAAGAAAGTATTCGACGTCCCTTAGATCAATTGCTTGAGACGCGTGTTGATGGTACGGCAGGCGGTAGTCAATATGACAAGCTATTGCGCAGATGAGAGCAAACCAAACCAAATGGCTGATCAAATATGCAACGCTAGCTTTCAAATGTCGCGGCTGAAGCCAACGGCCAGAACGGAGTACCGAAGGACGGAAGTAGAGAAAGATAACATGAACTTTTTGTGTTCACTTTCTTCACCCATGAATAAAAAAAAACAAAGATAGGTCGTCGCATCCTCAACATGGACATTATGAGGAGGATTGGTAGTCGAGCAAAACGAAAAGACAGCGCTTGAAGAATGACGAAAAAGGTGCATCACCGCCAGCGCGAGTCGCCAGACGATCCCCATGTAGAGGCTTTCCAGTAGCTGCCTGTCGAGTGCTTGGAGACGGTCCCTGACGAGGAGTTGGATCCGCCGACGTAGACGTATTCCCCGTCGACGTAGGGAACCCCTGAAAAGGTGCTGCGGTGTTTGCGACGAGCATAGCGCTGCTCTAGCCGGTAGAGCTCGATCTCTGTAAGAAATGGATGGTTAGTACAGGAATTGAACGATGACACAATGACCGTGATGCTTCGAGATGTGTGGTACTAATGGGTGAACTCCTAGGAAATGGAGACAACATACTTGCTTGCAACTTCTCGATGAAACCCATTGTGTATGTATGTAGCGTAGCGCCTTGCAATAAATGACTTTATTTCTCTTGTGCACCAAATCCAAAGCGGATCGAATAATCACCCCAGGGAGTTTCTGGGAGTGTATATGCGGGGTTCAAGGATGATAATCTCCAAGAATTGTTGATAGTAAGAGTGCGAAGGTGAAGCGATGCCAATTGCTGAGATAACGGCCCGGAAGGGTGGGAGAGGTAACACGGCGGACGCGAGAGGGGCAGGTTGCAGATAAAAAGGAAAAAGGAGGGACGAAAGACCCGATTTGCGAAGAGGGACGACGACGGGCTAGTGGACGTTGCAGCAGATGGTGGGAAAAGAAAGTGTTCACACCAAGACAGATAGTGCTCCGGAGCTAAGCAATAGTCAAGAAGTCAATGATAAATAAGGCGCCGATAGTGATTTAGTGGTACCCTTGGTGGGATGGCTGGTAGGAATTGATGGATAAAGAGAGAGGCTTGTGGAGAAGGAATGCAGCCGACCACGCAGGGAAGACAAGCCACCGAGGGTTACGTGCCAATGAAGAATGCAAGGTGAAAGAGTAGTAGAAGAGAAGGAACAAAGAAAAGGTCAAAAGAGAGACGTGGTGGAGAGATAGAAGAAGAAGAAGAAGCAGCAGAAGAAAGAGGAGATAATGGAGACGATGACGATAGTTAGATAGATACTAGTAAGGGAAAACAACGAATGTGGAAAGAACGACGGACTGACTGACTTGGAACTGGGGGAATAATTGGGAAGGAAGGAACCGAACAAAACGTGTGGGAAAGAGAGGAACTGGAAGGCACGATGGCCGGACGGGTGTGGACTTGCTGCACCGACCACCAGTCAGGAAGGCGCAACGTGGTTTGGGGGAGGGGCGTCCCTTCCTGTCTGGGCCTAGCCAGGGGAGTCCAGCCAATCATTAGCCTCGACTAAGTATGCCCACCACCGTCAGGTACGGAATCCAAATACACTAAGGAAACACTAGACCACGAACTAGACGTCCGTCACCACCACACAGACCAGACCAGACTCTTCAATACCCCTGACTATCTTTCTCAAGAAAGAGACATTCAACAGTCACAGTAGCAGAGATTGCTCAATTGACTTTTCTCTTTTTCATTAGAGATAATCATCTACCTATCTAACCGACACTATCGTCTATGATCTCCCGCTATTGGCGAGTCTTTCCATCCATTATCCATCCAGTACTTCTCTTCTCTTCTCTTCTTCCTTCCTCAAACTCAAAACCTCCCCACCTCCCGCCCGGAGATTTGTTTTCTTTCTTCTGTTACCCCCTAACGCACGGTTAACATCATTAGACTCACCCTCAGGCAGATAGATAAACCACGAATCGAATTGTGCTCGTACTTGGGCACCAACCATGCAATCCTGAACATTATTGTTCCTTCACTCGTTCAACATGGAATATACAATATTCATCTATCACGCTCTCCTCATCCCTGGTTCTCCCTGACTCAAGACCCTGCGTACCAGATCGGCTCGCTCGCTGGGTCGAAAAGGGTAGAACCGAGACGGGGTAAGACGCTAAGGCCAATTTCGAAAGTGCCGGTGGTTCCGTCTAAATGGCCTGGCCGTGTCTTGCCTTGCGTGCTTTTCTATTCCACGGCTCCAGTTATTTTTATTGGAACCGCCCGCTTGCCTTCCTTCGGTTCAGTTCCCCTCGTGGCAACCCGGTAGACTAGTCCGTCGTTTAGGTTGCGTGTGGGATGATTGGGGGGGGGGGGAGGTACCTTTCCCACATTTCACCGAATGGTGCACGTACACGGCAGCCACAGAGGAGGGCGTTTACGTAAGTTGGTGGACAACTGACTAGTAACGTAGATAGTTACACATATAGTGGCTATTGTGTAGATATCTACTTTGATAGTTTCCCATTTGTATCGTTCAGTCGGAAAAAGTCTAAAGCGCCAAGAAATATAGAACAAAAGAAGGAAAGGAAGGGGATCATACAATTCCCTTCCATTGGGTGATTGCTTGCTGCTTATCGTCGTGCCTCGCGTTCTGCACTACTTCCTAGTAGTACTCTCCTCTTCCTCCGCAGCTGTCGGCTCGCTGTCCACGTCCTGTGCGAGGGACATTTCTTGGGCTGTGGCGCAGGATTTAGTTAGCTTTCGTGTTTGAAATACACCAACTCCTTCCGGGCTTCCGACGGCGGGTCTCTTACCGTTCCACAGCTCGGCGTAGATGCCATTCTGCTCCAGAAGGTCGCGATGCGATCCCTTCTCCGCTACTTGCCCCTCCTTCAATACGAGGATCTGGTCGCAGTCATAGATCGTGCGCAGTCGGTGCGCCACGAACACGCTCGTGCGTCGCTTCTCCTTTAGGATGCTGTTGATGTTCTGCAGTAGCGCTTGTTCTGTGTAGGTGTCCAGAGCGGAGGTCTGCCCGTTCATGATTAGTATACTTAGCCGCCTGCCATGCTGAATAATAACAATTGACTTACCGCTTCATCGAAGAACAGCAGCTCCGGATCCTTCAGGATCAGTCGAGAAATGGCCAGTCGCTGCTTTTCACCTCCAGAAATCATCATGCCTCGCTCACCCACCGCAGTCTTGTAGCCGTCGGGCAGCTTCTGGATCAGCTCGTGGATGTGTGCACGTTGCGCCGCCTGGTGGACTTCTTCATCGGTCGCCTCAATCCGGCCGTAGCGGATGTTGTGCGCGATTGTATCGTTGAACAGAGGAGTATCTTGGGGCACAACACCGATGGCCTTGCGGAGACTTTCCAGAGTCACATCGCGTACATCCTGACCGTCAACGAGGATCCGGCCCTCTTGGACATCGTAGTAGCGGAACAGCAGTCTCAGGATAGTCGACTTGCCGCAACCACTAGGTCCAACGATAGCGAACTTCTGCCCTGCAGGAATCGTAAAGCTAGCGTTCTTGAGAATGGGTCGGTCGGGGTGGTAGCCAAAGGTGACGTTCTCAAATCGAATCTCGCCGCCCTGCTTCAGCTGGAGGGGCTTGGCATCCGGTCGCTCAGTGATGTTCACGTTGACTTTCTGCAGGTTGAAGAGGGTCTCCATGTCCAGCAAAGACTGGCGGAGCTCTCGGTACACCGAGCCCAAGAAGTTGAGCGGGACCGAGAGCTGGAAGACGAGCTGATTAACCATGACCAGGTCACCTACAGTCAGACTGCCGCTAGCAACGCCGTTGGCGGCGAGGTACATCATGCCTGCCAGGGCACTCGAGAAGATCATGTTCTGGCCGGAGTTGAGGAAAGCCAGCGACGTCGTGACCTTGATGGAAGCATCCTCGTAGGCCTTCAGGGCCTTATCGTAGCGTGCAACTTCGAATCTCTCGTTGTTGAAATACTTAACCGCCTCATAGTTGATCAGAGAGTCGACAGCAACGGTGGCACCACGGTTGTCGGCAGCATTCGCCTGCTTGCGGAACTTGGTTCGCCAGGCGGTGGTCATGATCGTGAAAGCAGAGTAGGTCACCATGGTTGCGGCTGTGATCGCCGCAAATTGGACACCATATTGGTAGGTCTATCACAGTCAGTAATGCCATATCTGGACAGATGGTGCAGCGCAGGCCCTACCAGAATACCGCAGACAAGAGAAATCTCCAAGGCAGTTGGCACCACGTGGAAAACCATAGACGTCAACAAGAAACTGATGCCCTTGGTTCCACGATCAATTGCTCGCGTCAAACCACCGGTCTGCCGAGAGAGGTGGAAGTTAAGATCGAGCTGGAGCAGGTGCTTGAATACATTTCCCGCAACCTTGCGGATCGCCTTCTGCGCAACACTGGCGAACACAGCATTGCGCAGTTCTTGGAAGAGTGTAGCCCCGATCCTAGTAACACCGTCTGGTAACCATTGTTAGATACAGTCTTCCTGCATGCGGGGATCTCTTACAGGCAATAATCATCGAGCCTGCGACTGTGTAAGCGGTTCCGCCAAAGGTCGAGAAGTCCACGTTCATGGAATCAACGATGTTCTTGAAATAGAAGGGTACTTCGACATTCAATATCTGGTTGGATAGTGAGTACTGATGCAGGAGACCCAGTAGTAGCATAGCTCACCTTTCCTCCTACCAGCAGCGATAGGGCAGTGCCGACACGAAGCTTCGTTCCCCAGTCACCCTGCACCGTTCTCTATTAGCACCCTATGCCTCGCTCGTCCAGAACGCCGCGAATTCAGCTCACCTTAGGCCAGAGATACTTTGCCATTTCCTTCATTATCGCCCAGTCCGCCTTCCTCTGCTCCTTTCTCCCCACGGTAGCTTCGCTGAGCAGGTCTTTCTTCGGGGTCGCGGTAGCATTTTGGGTACCCGGCGGACTCTGCGCGACATTGGCAGCGCTGGGTCGGGTAGTCGAGGGATCTTTGGGTTCCGGCGTCTGCGACTTCGACGGAGTGTTCTGCGAGGTCTGGCTCCTCAGTGGGCTTCTGGTGGTTGAGAATGATCTGAGCTGAAAGCCGTAGGAAGCTGACGCCCATGACGCTGGGCGCGGAACGGCTGAAGTGTGGTGTAGAAAGCATCCCGAGGCACGCCAGCAAGGCGTGCGGGCCGCCCTGGGCAGCATTGTGGTCGGTAGATGCTCTTCACAGCGACCGGAGGTATGCAAGGACCGTCTTTATAGCCAATGGAGCATTGCGGTGGTGGTGAGGCCTTGCGCGAATTTCCGCCTCGTGATGGGGACCGCCGGGTTCGGAGGAAAACGTCGGCGGCGGCGGGGGATAAAGTATGAGGGCGTGAGATGGAAAAGGTACTGGGGACCGCGGTGGATCAGGGCGCTGTTTATTCACGACACCGTGTATGGCGGATCATTGATTAAGTGTCCAGAAGGAGTATTGAGGGTAAAATAGGTACAGGTGATTCAGCGAGGGAGGCTGCAGTGATAGCACCAGGAAAGGCAGTTCTGTCGCAATCGCCGATTCCGAGTATCTCCAGGTCTCCGGTAAATTACGTTACTCTCGGTACGAATGCGGCAGTTCAGCAACATACTGTCTTTCTGATGTTTCCTCACATCTCTTCATAGGTCTACGTGAATCAAGTCGTCTCTCTGTTTAATCAATTCCTGCTTGAGCAATTGCTGTCCAGCTTGAAGGTATCCGGTATGAGTATGTCATTCTTGTTAGGAAAGTAAGTGACGTCGTGAAGGTAGTAATGTGCCGATATTGTTTAGAAACATGGTCAACACACAGGTCCAGCTCCATCGCTACTAACAGAAGTAGAAGATATATGCTCTTATATAGTAGACATTAGCGGGTAGCAGTCAGATTGATAGTCCACTTAAGTAAAAGAGGGGATACTTAAAAGAACTCTCATATAGTCAAGGTAGACACGTGAGATAGGTATGACATCAGTGCAACACAGCTTATATCTCCCAAACCACCAGCGGGTTTGAGGCATTCAGCACAGTTATTACTATCTGAGCTATCCTCATGTCGAGCTAAATCCAGTGATAGTGAAAATAATACCCTCACTGCAAGGCAAAAGTGGATGAAACAGCTTCAAATATCGACAAGTTCGCAGTGCCAAGCCGCAATAGCGCTTTTCCCGATCTGGAAGCGTGAATCCGGGCGAGAAGAAGAATTACCGCGGAGAACGAGCAGTTGCATTCCCAACCCCAGCTTCTCCCCATCTGCACTTCGTTTGGCAGAGACCCTCCATGATGGCATCGGCTCAACCTTGGAGGAGTGCCGCGAGGACTCTGTCCTGGACTCGAGTCGTCCCTCCCCGGGCGCGACAAGGGGCATTGCTGCGCCGCGGATGGCAGACCAGATGCGTCCAGATTCGCGCGGCGCCTGCGGAGGAGCCTGCTACCGTCAATGGCGACCATCTACCTATCTCCAGCACCCCTAGCTCTGCTGAGTCTGCTGGCAAGTCTCCAGGCTGGACCCGAACCCGCTTTAAACCCCGAGCAGACCGCGCTAACAAGTCGCAATTATAACTAGATGCACGATTCGATGTCATCGGCGCGCCCTACTCTCTACTATCGGTTTCGCTCTCCGCTTCTCAGAACCTTTACACTCGTCGGGGTACCTTGGTCGGATTGAGTGGAAAGGCAGACAATGTATGCGCATGTTGTTGTGGTTAATGCTCTACCCTGTACGCTACTCTAGGGTTAACGACTTTGGCATCAACGCAGGTGGTTTCTACATTGAGCGTCCTAGAACCCTTCCGGAGGGCTGTCGTCGGCGTGCCGTTCCTCTACCAGAAGGTTAGGCTGGTCTTCCTAGGATTTGAACAATTGGTATGTTTATTGACAATGACTGCTAGGTGTCTTCGGCAAGTCCAGTGACTGCGCTGGTTTCCGTTCGTTCTCCGAATACTTCCTTTGCTGTCGTTCACTTGAATGGCTCCGTGGATTGGATGGTGGCCCAGAAACGGGCATTGCTTGCCTGGACGGGTCGCTCGCTCTCTATCCGCCCAACTATCAACACAAGTCTGGTTCGTGATCCTCATTGGGTCTTGTGTATAAAGGCTAGACTAACCCGCGAAGAGCCTTGCCCATTGGGGTAGCTCTGAGGTCACAGGACGAGGTTTGTTGGCGTTGGTTGGTAACGGTCAACTCTATTCCGTTGAGCTCAAGGCTGGAGAGCAATACATCGTTCACCCGAGGTAAGCATGGCTGTTTCCCTGATTGACCAGCTTTTACTGATGTCGCATAGCAACGTCGTTGCCTACACCATGTCGTCCAATCCCCCACGCCCCTATCGCTTCAAGTCTACGACCTTGAGATTCCAGGTCCCGGGTCTTAAGAGTCTCCCGGCCTTCATCCAGAACTCCAAGTTCATCCAGGATATGTCGGAATCGAGCACTTGGAAGTCAACAATGAGGATTATGCACACGATCCGTACATGGTCTCGGAAGACCATCTGGGGAGATCGGGTATGTCGCATCCTGCGAGGCTGTCAAGTTGCTGCTAACCCTACATAGTTGTTCCTCCAATTCGATGGACCCTCGACCATCCTTCTACAGACCCGCGGTCCTCGTATCAACGAGGTTCTGACCTCACACGAAGTTAACGAAATCGCCAGTGCGCCTAGAGGTTTGACCATTGGCCCGGCAAAGCCTACCGAGGGGAAGCGCCAACCAGGAGACGAGTATGTGAAGGCTGCTGAGGAAGCTGTTAATGATGGACCAGGACCACACAGAACTGTGGACGAATTGACCAATGAGCTCAAGGGCACGGAGCAAAGCATTGCCACTTTGACGAAGGAGGGCAAGGTCATTATTGAAAAGGCGGGACAGAAAAACTAAGCTGAAACAGTATCAATATGTTGCTGTTCTTCACGCATAGATCATAGCGTCCGACATCCAGGTATCTTTTTTCATTTATTTTGTTTCATTGCAGGCTCAATGTACTATAGACAATAGCTTGTGTCCGACTACACCCCACTTGAACGTTATTTCTCCTTTCTCCCTATTTTCTTTCCATTATTCGTGATCTCGATCAAATCGAAGCAATTTCCCGCCTTACATTGTCTTAAACCACCTAGCCAACAGGCACCCACGTATAAACCGGCTGACATGTGGTGGGGGGAAATTTCCATGAATGAAGGGATCTCGCAAGGGGCCTCGTTGTCTCACAAACATAAACGTTCCTTTTTAAGTCCACAGCAAGGACCTCCCCTATGGAATGCTCACGAGAATCACACCGCTGGTCGACTCTTTTTTTCACTTGCGGGAATCCGGGGTCAGACCTCGCTATCTAAGGTCTCGAGGCCCAGATCGATGCCACCAGATTCCCCCACGCCCAAGCCCCCAGTATCGCCATTCCATAATTCGCAGCACCAGGAAGCAGACACCCTTGTGACAGAGGTCAGCCCTATTCTGCTGCAGAAACCATGACGCAACAACAACAACAACAACAACAGCAACAACAACCACCGAATGAGGCCATTCCAGCCAGCGATGCCGTGGAAGACGATACTAAAGAGCCCTTCCACCTGCCGGTATCTGCTTCAGATACAAGTGACGATGTAGAGGCGCAGCAGAGCGATACACAAGGCACTACGACTTCCGGAGAAAAGCGCGGAGTGAATCCATCTGCAGGTTATACTTCGGAGAAATCCAGCGTCATTGTCCAGGACCACCAACCAGCATCCACACCTGAGGGGCCTCCAGATGGCGGACTCGCAGCCTGGATGACGGTTTTCGGTGGATTCTGTAGCATGTTCGTGAGTTTTGGCTGGAATAATTGTGAGTGTTGGGATATCAGACACTTCGTCAACACCTTCTACTGGGAACCAATCTCAAATGACGATTGCACAGCTTGCTAGCTAACATGCGACTTCCAGGCATGGGGATATTCATCGACTACTACCAAACTCATCAGCTGAGCAACATGTCTACCAGCTCCATCACATGGATCACATCGCTAATGACATTCATGATGTTCTTCGGGGTCCGTCTTTTCCTCCCTCCAGCCCTAACGTCTGCCCCCAAACCGCCATCACCATCACCAATACCAATCAACCCACCAACTGACAGAGCAACCAACAAATAGGGCCCCTTCATCGGCATCCTCTTCGACAACTACGGCCCCCGCTACATCATCCTCGTCGGCACCATCCTCCACGTCCTCGGCATAATGATGACCTCCATCTCCACCGAATACTACCAAATCATCCTGGCCCAAGGCATCTGCAGCCCCATCGGCAACAGCGCCCTCTTCCACTCCGGCGTCAACTCCATCAGCACCTGGTTCGGCCGTCGTCGCGCCCTCGCCCTGGGCATCGCCACCAGCGGCGCCAGTCTCGGCGGCGTCATCCTCCCCATCATGCTCACTCGCCTCTTCGACCTCCTCAGCTTCGGCTGGGCCATGCGCATCTGCGGCTTCCTGATCCTCTTCCTCCTCATCATCACAAATCTCACCACCACCTCCCGTCTCGTCCACACCAGAAAACAATACCATATCCGCGACTTCATCCGTCCCCTCCGCGAACTCCCCTTCATCCTCACCACCGCCGGAACTTTCTGCTTCTTCTGGGGCATGTTCCTTCCCTTCTCGTTCATCCCCTCCCAGGCTCAGCGCCACGGCATGTCCCCTACCTTGGCTTCGTACTTGATTCCGGTCCTTAATGCAGCTAGGTAAATCACATTCCCCCCCCCCCTCTTCTTCCTCCCCTCAACCCCAAAATCCACCAGATATCTAACTACACCCCTCCCCCGGAAGGGGAGGGGCATCAGTTTCCCAGGCCGCATCATCCCACCCTACCTCGCGGACGTCTTCGGACGCTTCAACCTCATGATCCTAATGACATTAGCATCCGGGATCCTCGTTCTCGCGCTCTGGCTTCCCTCCACCGGCAACGCCCCCGCCATTGTCTTCAGCGCCCTGTATGGCTTCACCTCCGGCACGGTGGTGAGTCTTGCCCCCGCGCTGGTGGCCCAGATCTCTGAGATCAGGGAGATTGGTGTGCGCAGCGGGACATATTTCTGTATTGTGTCGTTTGCGGCGCTCACGGGCACGCCGATTGCGGGCGCCTTGTTGCCGGATCCCCTGGGAGGAAGTTATACTAAGTTGTTTGTGTTTTGTGCCGTGGTTATGCTTGCCGGGACGGGGTTTTATTGTGCTGCGAAGGGGAGGATTGTCGGGTGGAGGGGGTGGTGGGGGAAGAGGGTTTGAGTGGTGGATATATTTTATTATTATGTGGTGGGAGATGGGAGGGATGGGGATGGGGGTGTGGTGGTGATTATATTGTGGTAAAATGATGGGGTTTTGTGCAAGCAAGTACTCATGCTATGTTGACGAAAATAGATGGTATAGTGCTTTAGAGTATCTCGAGCAATAATTGGAATAGATAGATGCCTATATAGATGCTTCGATTCGATCCTCTGTCAACTCCCAAACACCTTCGCTGTGCATTGCAAAGCCACGGCAATGAATGATAAAGCCACAAGAAAACAGATATGCTAGCAAGCAAACAACAGACAATGCAAGTCGACAATGTATATAGTGAACTCCCAGCTCCAAACGTAGAAACAATGCACAATGTCTGTACTGTTATACCAGAACTCCGTTTCGCATGCTCTGGACACTCTTCACACCCACACCCTTGAGCTGGCTCAGCTCCGCAAGGCTGTTGATGTGGAACCGCGCTTCGTCATCTTGGCTGGTGTTGTGTTGATCCATCTCGCACAGGCAGTCAACGATAGCCTCGGCCTTCTTGACTCCCACGCCTTTCAGCAACTTGATCTGGCTGACGTCGCGCGAGTTGATGATGGAGAGGAGGTGGATGGTGCGTGGGGAGGGCGGTTCCTCGTTCATCACGTCGACGCTGGCGCGTTCGTCGTCCAATGGGGACTTGGTCTTTGTGCGCTTCTTGCGTCTGGCGTGGGTGATTTCCTCGATGTCTTCGTCGCTGAATTGTTCGAGGGACGCTTCGGGTTCTTCATAATCCGCGTCCGAGTCTTCAGCAACGCGCTTGAGGCGCGTCTTAGCGGGCTGCTTCTTGAGGGATAGCATACTGCCAAGTTCTCGCCTGTGCCCGGAGTGGCTGATGGTGCCGGTGGTGTCGGCGTCCTGGCGCGGTTTGCCGTGCATACGCTCCTTCAGGCTGGCAATCTTCCTGGATAACTTCTCGTTGTCCGGGAAGTATGGTAGGGCCAGCTGGTACATCCTGAGAGCGAAGCTGTCCTCGCCACGTGCTTGGTGCTGCTTGGCCATGAGCAAGTATGACAGACCTTCGGCCCTTGCATCTTCGGAGCCTTCGATGCGTTGTTCGAGAAGTTCCAGACGCCGCTGGACTTGCTCATTCAGTTCGCGGACCTGCGTTTGTCTCGACTGCTCACTGACGGCTCGCACAGCCAGAATCTCCTCGACCTTCTTTTCTACCATCTCTTCGATCTTGGCCGCGGAGATGTCGTCATGGTGCTTTTGAGGCTGCTGTGTTGGTTGAGCGAGACGAGAAGGCTTCGATGAGAGGCGGGAGATATCGGAACTCAGAGAAGGCCGGGAGCTCATGGAATTCCGCTTAGGGGGCTCCGGTTTCTTGAACTGTGTGGTAGTTCTAGGGTGCGTCTTATCCGAGTAGACGTGGAAAGCCTTTACGGGCTTTTCGAGGGTCTTGGTGTTGTCCTTGGCTGCGGCAGTCAGGTTCACGTTCACGGAAGCTGTCAGAGGCCGCAGGGGTTGCCGTTGGGCTGTCACCGAAGGCCGCGATGCTGGTTTAGGGGGCCCCTTGAACATTGGCTCGTTTTCTACCTCGCGCACTTCGATCTTCTTCGTGCGGTTGGCGAAGTTGAGTGAGCTTATTGTGTCCAGATGGTAGGACCTGACCGGCGCCAGGTTCAAGATCATCACAGTCAGCCCATTGTTCTGTCCCAGCGATAGAATCCTCGTCATCTTCGACTCTCGATACGGTATTCTCGAGTGCTTCTTGCTGATTGCTTCGACACACTGAGCCAGGACGAAAAGGCTCTTGTTGATACTAGCGGACTCAACCATGCGCTCTTTGTCATTATCCGTCCGGCGGTTATCTTCGGAGCCAGCAAGGTCGATAGCAGATGCGGTACTAATGCGCGTTTTATCTCCAGTGGTGACTGCGACGCGCACGCAGAGGATGGCATGAGATCGTGATGAGTGGGCGTTAAGCTACAATAGTTAATATCGACCTTCTTTCGGGAACAGCGTGGTTGCAAACCTTTGTTGCAGATGTGGACCTGTTGGTATTGGCTTGATCATACAATAGCTCGAATTCCTTCAGAGTATGGCATGGCCTCTCCGTCAAACCCACGACGACTGTCTTGCCGCCGTTGTCTCGAAGAGGTAGACCTGCCAGAGTCCTCTTCTCGGGGGGTTCGAATAGGTCGTAAACCTTGTCGTTGTAGATTTCGTAGTAGCTCAAAGACACCTTGACAGTAGTTTCCCCGTCACTGTCCTTCTCCATCTTCCGGCTGCGTCTGTAAATGCTGCTCAGGAGACGAGGAATAGCGCCACGATCAGCCAAGCTTTTACCGCCTCGCATTGTGTGTGTCTTTCCAGTTCCTGTAACCCCGTATGCAAATATCGTTACATCGAAGCCATTGAAAAGATGCTTGACAGTAGGAGCAACTGCGCGTTCCATCAGTATGTCGTTACCTCCCAGATTATTGGCGTCACAAACCCTCTGCATCGAAGAGCTCCTGCTGCGAAGCTTCCGCATCGTAGACAGCATTGAACTGAAACGAGTATTCTTCACCTTCGTTCTTGGGGTTCGGAATCCGCACTAGGTTATCCCGATCCCTCAAGGCTGCCAGTGCGCCTTTCCCCTGGGAGCTCGTCTTATCGCTCTTGCCGGGCACTGCCTGGTTAGACGATCCGGTGCGTAGGATGACATCTAACTCCCGTTCCGATTTGAGAAGCGGTCGAACCCGCGCGACTACCCGGACGCTCATTGTGTATCGGGGGTGGTGATATGGAATGGATTCGAGATTATCGCCAACGGTTGGTGGATGTAGTCCCGGGACTTCGTTGTATCGTCGCTTCAAGCTGTCCGATCCAACCCTGTTGACCAATTGAGGTGTCGATACTTATGGCGGCATAAGAATGAGTTTCAACTAATCGTAGAGGTAGGACCAATAGTGAGCAGCTAAACGTAAATTAAGCTGCCGTCGAATTATTTTGCACTCTTGGATCCTAAAAGTCAGGCGCTGGATCGACAACCCGCAATCCAAGCACACCAGGCGGCAATGAGCAGCTAATTGAAGGAAATGAAACAGAGAAACAACAGCAGAAAGCAAACTGACGATAAACGGTGGGCCGACGACTCGGTGGGTAGGAGACAATGTGCCCTGTGAACCGACAGGGATAGCTTCGGTGTGGTGCGACTGGCAGCGGTCAGCGTTGTTGGCACGGCAACCTCCCACGTTCGTCTACCCCAGGCATCCCACCCTTCCGATTTAGGGTGCAGTATCGTGCATCGCCATGTTTCCTTTTGCTTCTTTCCTGCAAAAGTCATATTAAGGAATGTCATTGGATTCGAAAGAATGTGTTTGTACTACTTAGTACCTTCTTTGTTATGTCCATGTGCTCTATATTTTGGTAGTACAAGTTTGTGTGCTTTAGATTAGTACTTTGCAGTCAGCATTGAATATATAAATTAGTGCTCAAGCACCATCGTAAAACCATAGTAATAGCATGTGGACGCATAGTTTATGTAGACCCATGACTAAGGCTTTCTCAATCTAACCTGTCAAGCTCAAGGGTCTCGATCATTAGATAGAGCTCTGTCAGTCTTCGAGCTTCTGATTGATGCTGTAGGGCTAGAGTATAGCCCGTACTACCATCCCTGATGAGTATGAGATCATAAGCCCAAGGCAGCGACCACCACACAACTATTACCTACTACCCAATGACTTACAAAAACGTTAACACAGCCGTTATATTCCTCAACCTAATAGTTTGAGAGTCGAGAGTCTACTTGTATTCCCTGTATTCCAACCCTATCTATATTAAAAATTGTTCAATGAAATATGCCCAAATAATGGGCTTCAGTGAAAGTTGATTGAGAGTCGGTTAGGCCGCGGGGAGCTGATTGGCCCAGGCGCGGCAGCCGCAAAGGCCACCGTACACCATCATCCATCCTATCATCCTCCATCGTTCATCGTCGCCTCTCCGACTCCCACAGCTCCTCCCAACTCTTTCAGGACACCTCGCCTGCTCCGGAGTGTGGCATTGACGTGCTCTTTCCCCTCCATTTGACACTTGTGTTTCTGCGATCCGGTAAATCCTTGGTTGTTAGTATGACGCCGTCCCTCTAGCCTTTCATTCCCCTTTCCACCTCCCACTTCGAATGTTGACCGACGATCCAGTGTGCCAGTGACGATTTATCCGACCGCGCAACACCCTCGAGATCGCCCTAACAAACCCTCGGGAAACCACTTCACCTTCCCCCCGCCGACAGACGATAAATACACATAATCCTCCATGGCAGCACCACAAGGGGGCTACCCTCCCCAGGAAGGGTACGGTCAGCCTGCCGATTATGGGTCTCCCGTGCAACAACCCGCGGGGTTGGCTGCCGGTGCCCCGGCCCAAGGCCAGGCTGGAGGTCGGAAGAAGCGTGTTTATGCCGGCGAAGCCTTTGACTTTGGATCTGGTGCCAATGCTGCTCTGGGAGGTCAGTTGCCCGCCGGTGGCAGCTACGGAGCGTACCCGCCGCAACCACAGGCTGCGGGATACCAGCAACCTATGTATGGAGCAGACCCAACTCAGATGCAGGCTGCGGCCCCAGGATATGCGGCGCCCGCCAGCCCTCAAGTCGCACAGATGACCCAGCAGTTTGGTGCTATGGGCATGACCGATCCGCACCTCCTGCCACCGCAGCCGGTCGCCCAAGCTCCCCAGGCTCAGGCCCCGCGGGCTGTTCCCCTCAACCAACTCTACCCAACCGATCTCCTTACCCAGCCCTTCAATGTCGCCGAGCTCGATTACCCGCCACCCCCCATTGTTCTGCCGCCCGGTGTATGTATCTGATGTCGTTCATGTTCGCGAATTATTGGATTGCTGACTTTCCCGCTAGACCAGCGTTTACCCTTCTCCCTATGCCAACTGCCCTCCGAAATACGTTCGCTCGACCTTGAACGCTGTCCCGACAACAAGTTCGCTGCTGAAGAAGTCCAAGCTGCCTTTTGCTCTTGTCATCC